AACGTAAGGAAATGAGCCATAATACTAAATCTTCATCATCTTGTTTGGTTATAGCCCAGATTTCGAACCTCTCCATGTAATCCTCGAAAACATTAAAATCTGAATGTATATCCAATCATTCTATCACAGACTCCATCGTGACGCGAATGTGATATTTAAGAATATCTGAATTATAGTATGAACCAGTAATCCCAGGAACAACGCAATTTAATCACGAAATATTAGATGACCACGAACGAATGTATCGCACTTCCAATTCAAAATCAAACAGTCATGAATACAAGGGAATCATTATCTCATATAAACACCACAGGATTCCATTCAAAAATATCATATTGTAACGGGGTTGAAATCACCATGTATGTTGTTGTTAACGTGTTCTATATTCTTTCTATTGCAGGGCGACCAAGGATAAACCCTCTGGAAAAAGAAGAACAAGGCCTGCATCCGCTAAACATACAAGGTGACTCGTAAGACTATTTTGTAAACTAGCTATTCCTCCTGTACATGGCTCGCGAATTTTAATTTAGAAAATAAAGGACTCGTTGCTCCCATCCTGTTTTTTCTTGGTGTGAAGTTCTCGGTCAAGATTGTGTGTTGTGGTTTCATGTTTTCTCCGCCCATCATTGACTGTTGATAACATGTGTTACAATATGTTCTTACTAACTTTTCTTTAAACCTTACTATTTTCTTCAGTGTCTTCCTAAGAAGGTTTGGTTTCTACGTACTCAACAAATAGCTAAGGTGAAAGTTAGGTGGTGTGTAACTCATTCTTCAGGTTATCGGACTGCTATTAACTCATTACATAGGTCCTGAATAGTGTTGACACGGTCACATTCGTCAATTATCATCTGACATCATCTTGATAATGTAAACTATTCTCATTCTATGAAGCTAGTTATTAGTGCCCTAAGCTATCTTAGCAGAAAGACTTAAATACAAGTGATAGATTTTGGCGATCTAACTAAGATCAAATGAGACAGTAAGACGTTAGGACTACGTCATTTTGAGCCATAACAAAAAACATAAGCGATTCAGTTCTCACTCGAAAATGTAAAATGGGCGTGGCATTTTATTTATTTATTTAAAGTTAAGGAGTATGTGTACATCTGACAGACCTTTCAAAACACAATATTTACCCTACTATTGTAGTGAGTAATAATACAAATTTTCAAATAAAGTAAAAATGTCGCAAACACAATTAAATAAAAATGTTTATAAATAATAAATTTGCAACATGAAGTTTACTCTGCTAAACTATGTCTATATGAATAGTAACACTTCTGTTGATAGAATGAATTTCAGAAAATCAAGTTAAGCAATTAAATAGCTAATCAAACTACAATGAATATCATTTCATTTAATCAATAATAGAACAGTTGAGAGATATCAACAGAGTCATTTAAAAAAGGATATAAAAGAGCAACCAGTTGTTTCGTATGTCAGCCATAAATTTATAAATACTACATAACAATAACTAACTTAAACTAAAAATAGATTTTAACTATTAATTAAGGACGGTGGATTTCACAACAACCTAAAGGATTTATTATCAGTACAGTTCAAAGGTCATGTAATAAAAGGGGAAAGATCGTAAGATTATGTGTGACCAATAATCAAATAATGTACGATTATTAAGTGGATATAATTCAAAGTCGATAATTTTTATGGTTAATGTGAAAACAACATTCGTAATGTCAAAAAATAAAGGAACATAAATACACAACTTTGAATAATGTACAAGAAAAGGTTAGGGTGAATATATAAATTGAAATTCCAACATATGATACAATGGCAGCCAAATGTGACTAGAATCCGATTCATCCGGAACATATTTCTCACATTCATTAGGAATATCACTACAGATAAATTCATTGTGAGGACCACTGAAACTTGATATGACATCAGGATATAATTTTTCCGAAATATTTACCTCAAATTAATTAAGAGTTTAATTAGTGAATAATAAATCATTAGAAAGATCAGCATCTACCAAAACTGAATCCGGTTTTGATCATGATTCGACCAATTCAACATATTATTATCAGAGTTGTCAGAAATTTCATCAGAAATATGTGAAACATCATGACAAACCACATCTGGTACAATTACATGAGAAATCCGATAAGAAATTGGTTGATTAGAAACATTTGTCTCACGGTGATTCTGGGTTTCATTTAACCTGTGGGGAGTAGTGTAACGTCGTGTACTATATTACACCTACATAGCTTATTCTAGTTTCTGGACAAGCCAATTCACCTATAACGTTATGAGTCATGTTTTGATCTTGTTAATTATTCGCTTATTGACCTTGACTATTTTTTTATATGAGCGTATGTGTATGCACCCTTCTTATCCTACCTATCACATGTCTGTCATTCATTATTGTCCGACTATAAATATTGATTAATGCTTGCTTAAGTCGAGTTGGCTTCCCAGCCAATCTCCATTGCGCATGGTCTTTCGTTTCGTTCGCTTTTATTCGCTTCATCACTCTCATTCTCTGACCAGATCAATGACTGTAGAAAATATATGTATTCTAAATCTATTCTCGTATTTAACTCCGTTGTTCACCAACGCGGATAAAGTCATTTATTACATACGAGTCTAGACAGAATCATATTTACGCTACAACAAAATTGGAGGCCTCGCCGAACGAGCACGACGCTACAGAATTGGATGCTTCGCCGAACGAACATGAACCAGAATCGACAACCTCGACGTAGGAACACGCAACACATATTGGCGATCCCGAATTACGAACGCGTCTTCTGATATTATACACCGTTCAGATTGTTATAATAACGGTTATCAAGACGATCGATTAACGAAGCACCACACTACAAACCCTGGACTGCTATGTGACGTTATACTGCTACTCGAAGTCTTGGATAAAGATAAGGGATCATTAGAAACATCCAACTTGATAGGATCACAATCACGAATTTTAGCATTAATTTCAGCGAAATGAACCATGGTATTACAAACTGACTGAATGTGTCCAGTTTTACCACATCTATAGCATTCAGAATTAAGAAATACACATGAATTACATGGGTGAAACATGCATTCACCAAACTTGTGCTCATCATCGTGAACTGTTCCACAACTTGCCAATGAATTGTAATCTGAATAACCCTGATTACGTATTGCACTGCGACGACGTAGTAAAGTGGTGAAATCCCTGATGGCCTGGCGAGTCATTCCATCTCATTTTTCACCCTTACTACATTCAAAATTTGTATACTTTACATGATCCAGTAGTAGTTACTTGACAGCTGCTGAGGGAGTGAAATCGGTTTGTCTGGAAATGTCAAAGTCCTTATTAAGCAGTATACTTCTTTTCCGATGAACGTAAGGAAATGAGCCATAATACTAAATCTTCATCATCTTGTTTGGTTATAGCCCAGATTTCGAACCTCTCCATGTAATCCTCGAAAACATTAAAATCTGAATGTATATCCAATCATTCTATCACAGACTCCATCGTGACGCGAATGTGATATTTAAGAATATCTGAATTATAGTATGAACCAGTAATCCCAGGAACAACACAATTTAATCACGAAATATTAGATGACCACGAACGAATGTATCGCACTTCCAATTCAAAATCAAACAGTCATGAGTGCAAAGGAATCATTTGATCATACAAACACTACTAAAACACATAACAAACTACTGGACGAAATAGCAGTTAACCAAAACAATCTGGAGCTATGTTACATCATATTCAAGTTACTTTACATTTTTTTCCTGATTCCCGTTTTGTTTCCAATGACATTTAAGATGAAAAACTGTATCTCACCTAGAACAAGCTACAGTAACTTAGTAGAAACATCTGATAGTTAGAAATGTAAATACTCTTAAATTAGTGCTAAAGACTCAATGATCTCATCCCTATTTTCTTTCTAATTGTCCTTACGACCGGAATAGTTGTTAATTGAAGTTACCATCTCTAAGAAACTTTTTCTCTCAAGTCAAAGTAGTGTTACCAATATGATTCTACATTTGAACAGACTAGTAGATGAGACAGCAATGGAAAACGATTGGATACACAATGATAAACGGAGGCCAGGTTTCACTCAGCCATAATTTGAGTGCATTCGGATTCCACTTATCTTTACTACACCAAGATTGCCTATTTTTACAACACACACCAGCAGTGATATACGTATGGAGAGCCTTATGTTTCTTGTTTTTAAATATAAGTCATGTGGTCATGGTAGAAATAGGCCATCACTGACCCTATAAAAGTACGTTACTCTTAGGTGTCTTAATCCACTAAGAATGATAGAGGTTCCCCTCTGGATAACCTGTCATCTAAATCCTATAGGGGGCAAAAATAATTGAACAGAGAATCACTCTGCCCATACTGGAATATGATAAAAAGCATGTGTGTTTTCTATTTGATATCCAGTTACGTTCGATGTACAGATGATTTGTGGTTAAGTGTCATTAGATCAACATCAAAGTGGTTATAAAAAGCGGTATGGATTTTTAAAATTTATTTTCCGTGTAATATTTCTGGCGAGTTCATATGAACAATCAATAACTGACAAGTGAGTAATACCAGGATTCTATGAAATAGTTTTGCTAATAAGTGACAAATTCATTCGAAATCCTAGTTGTTTTCCATTTGTAATCAATCAATTACGCTCTTGTATATAATCACCAATGTCATTAGCACTAAATGTATCACTATTTACACGAATAAGTGACGATTTTTCCACCAACCTAAAGACTATTTGTGGTTTAAGCCTCATAGTATGCATAACTCAGGGTTGTACTTTTATAGTGGTGATGACTTGATCTAAGATGATCTAAGATGACTTGATCTAAGCATATGATATTGAATACACAAATTTTCATTTTGGAGATAAGCCTATATTTAAGATAAATTCGTTGAGGCATTCTTTCAAACTCAGTGCTAATATAAGATTTAACAAGCCATCATATCCTCGTGATTATTCACTGGGATTTGTGTTCAACTCAGTGTTACTTAACATTTTTAATCACAGAGTTTAGACAAATGAGTATATTTTACAATAATGTCTTGAGGTAAATAGCTAAACCATTTATATAAATATAAATTTAAGTCTTTTGACGATCCAATTATAAATTTTAAAGAAGTTTCTGTCTTAACTAAACAAATTTACTTTTTAAAATAAAAACGTATTTAAAAGCAATGAAAAATCCTTTGTTTACACTCAAACACAGAACAATGACAAAATAAAAAAAGGGAACTGAGAATGAGAAAATAAGAAAAATCCGAGACGAAGACATGAAGAGTGAAAAGAAGACAAACAGACAAGCAAGAGTACACATTACATTTGAAGAGATGGAGAAAAATGATGTAAAAATTAAAACTGAGCAAGTATTTTAGAAAATAAGATAACTTGAAGCCAAATCATATACACATGAGAGTACCATGTTGAACAAATGGAACTGATGTTAACTATCATTTATAAATCATCCCTGGATTCTTTACCTGTGACAAAATGCACTTCCCACTCATCATTTAAAGAAAGATCAGGTTTACGAACAACAACAATGGATGGTGTGTGTTTGAAACCAGCAGAAAAAACAGAGGACGGAGTAACGGAAAACCCTAAATTTCTTCGTGGTTTATGGGCATCGATCACAGTAACCCTTTCCAAGGGACTATTGAACCCAACAATAACAAAACGTTCAATTTTCGGTATTAAAACATCATCTTTAGGTAGTACTATGGAAGTATCACCTGGTAATGGTAAACGTTGTAAGCGCAATCGTCCACCATGCACACCTGCACCCGTTGGGTCGACAACTCGTTGGTAAATAATTTTGAAAAACTGGGCATTTGATTTAGAAGTTGAATGGAAATCATCTATGTATATATAACCAACAGCATCAGGCTCCTGAGGGTCCAAAAAAACAACAAACGTATAGGGATCACCACGCATAAGCCATGACGAACGACGTATACGCTCTTTTCGTGGTATGATCCAACCGCCTCGATAAAATACAGGTATGGAATTTATTGTTACTGGATACTGTGTCCACTGTCCACCAGCAAATACCTACAATTAAATATAAGGATCTCATGCGACTTTTTTCATTGAAAACAAATATAAACTTTATCGAATAGACCAGAACAGTTTATGATAAAATAAACATAATTCCTTGACTTAACAATTAGTCAAGCGTAAGCTTTATGGCATTATTATATTAAATAACAGTTATAGACAAGTAAGATTTTATTTCAAAAACATCAAAACACATTCATATATTTTCTGGAGGCATTATAAACCTTAACTGATAATATTTAGGTATCACTGCTTTGGGTAGAAAGTTAATAATAAATATAATTTTTGTTATATCCTAATGAGTAATAAAATTGTATTTCTGGCGTTTCGTGACTTAATGCAGGCAACTTCTTCAGAGTAAATAAACGAACGAATTAAATTAACACAAGTTCGAATAGTACAAAGCAAATAGTATAGATTCTTCTAAAACGCGAACGGAATTGATTTTCTTTAACCCCCTACTGAAATTAGAGAACATTTCAGAAAATATGGTAACTTTGTGAGTACAAAACTAAGAAATATCATGTTTTTGAAGTATTATACATGTTCTTTATAAAGTAAAGTGGACAAGAAGTAAGAGAAATGCCAGTCTAGAATACACCTTTTATTTAAATAGACCCGTTTACCAAATTCATTAGTAGTACTATCGATTAGGTAATTATAGGGTACATCACATTTCGAAGAGATACGCATATATCTGGCCAAATAACCACAAGCGAATTAAACATTATACCAGTATGATACAAACTAATCACGACAGTTAAAAGTAAAAATAAACGTGATGCCGAAAATACAAAACACTTTTTGATATTCGCTATATATAGGAAGCTTTTACTTTGAAAAATGATAACCACACTCAATTTTGAAGTGTAACATTTCATCTTCCAATCAATCACTTTGTTTGTATGATCATCCGTGTAGTTGAAATTAAGGATTCAATAATAACAAATCTCATACTCAAAAAAAAAACTAATTTTGAGTTAAAACCATGTAGTTTTTACATTACTGTTATGTAAAATTACATGATACACACATTTAACAACATTAACTATTTTCTTAAAATTAGGACAAAAATAGGACTAATGAGCTCCAGCTTGTTACTTGGATCGATTGTTTTAAGGATAGAACGTTAAAACTAGAACACCTTGTGAATTATACTTGAAATCTGGATAAATAGTGCAAAACAGGTTTAAGGCAGCTCTTGATAATTATAACAGCATTATACAAAATGAAACATTCATGCGCTTGTCTGTTGAACTCAATAAATAAAATCATTCTATTTTTTACAACGAGTCTGGACATTACTCACTGAATCTTTTTGATTATCAATATAATCAGAGACAAACTGTTCCTTTAATATTCTCTTTTTTCATAGAGTTATAAATAAAAAGTTTAGATTTTTATGTAGGATTTACCCTTATTTTTATGTTAGACATTAGTTGTGAAGCAAAACTATCGAAAATCCCATACAAATGATCATTTACCTCAAGTGATGGATAATGATACCATGTTCCCTTTGGAAAATATAATTGCACAGAGCTAGCACCTTGATCAGTTACAGGACGCACAAGCACAGCTTCTCCAACCATATATTGATCATCCAAATCAAACGTATTCACATCTTTAGGAAAATGAAACCACATTGGTGCCATAACTGGTTGACCGTTCGCCTCCGAACGAGCAAATAATGTATACCAATATGGAAGTAAATGATAGCGAGCTTGTATTGCTTTTCTGTGAAATAAAACCGATCATTTTGTTATCACATGAGTTGACAAATATTTAGCTAGACAAAGGAGTATTTTAACAATTAACATATATTCAAAATATATGTTCAAGTGCACACGGTTTCTGCCATATATGAGAAACAAACTATTCAAAGTTGTAACCATGTCCGGACTCGGACTTAAACTAGTCATAGGATAATGACGATAGCTTATCATCATTAAAATACCAATCAATGGACAAATTATTAGCTTCTGTATCTGATGTGTGGGCGAGAATGATAATGATTGGTTGTTTTGCTGAGTCAGACATTAGATAGGATGACAGGTGTTATATGTGTTATATATATTCCCCTATCCTTATTATGTATTGACTGTTCCTTGTTGTCGGATTTTGGTGTGGAAATATATTGACGTTCTAGTCAGGCTAACCTCGTGTTCTTGATTTGAATCGTGTTGAAGTCCTGTAGAATAGACACTGGGAGGGAATCTAGTGTAGATATTCATCTAAGGTAAATTAACGTCCCACACACGTGTAAAAAGTGAAAGGATGGTTATAACAAGTATCCTACAGTTTATAACAATATCCATCTTAAAACAGTAATCACATTATATCGTTTTTTAAAATTATTATTATTGAGCTACAAGTTCAAGGGATGCAAAGAGGGAGGGTATGAAAAATTGTTGATTGATACGGCGATGAGTTTGACTAATAAATTTAAAGCATAGTTGCTTTAATATTATCCTGAGTGCTTGGACCATAATGATAAGACATTCAAAATTCGCTGCAAACCCTACTCTAAGTTCGAATTTCTTTTAGTCGGGTTAGTTTTTATCTGTCATCATCAGCTACAATGCAATAAATGTGGAGACCACTTAAACCAAGAATTTTTTGTAAAAGCATTCCCAATGATACGGTCAAAAAGTAATGACCGTGAAATAATTAGCCGGAAAAATCTCGTTAAACATATTCTACACTGGAAGGAAGCATTAAGAACCTCAATGAATTTTCCTCACTTTGTTTTAATCATTTAAACTAAGTAAATTACGTTTGCGCGCTACGTTGTGTACTATATTCATTACGTGAGTTAATTACATGATCCGAACGTCCAAGAATAAAAAATCCGGATTGTTTACCCTAATGAGCCTATAATGGATAATATCATGAAAACGATATTATAGAGGCAAATGATTTAACCGTTAAACTAAATGACATTTCAACCATAATAAAACCTTTGTGTGATAATAACAAAGAACTCCAGTGTCTTTAATTTACCGAAAAATGGAATCAATTAAGACACGCTGGTTTTCAATGGAATGGACTCCATTTCGTGATCGTACCTTAGTCAACAGCTAGGAGGAACTGTTAAGCGAATCTATTCGATGGAAACTGAGAATATTTAATTCTTGAGATAATACCACTTTCTGTGCAAAGTGAACGGTTGAAAATTGATGACAGTCTAAGGGTGGGGTCATAATGACGAATGTATTGAAACATGACAATAAGTTTCTGTTCAATACTCAATGGCCTAAAAAAGTAATGTTCAGTTGTAAAAACCGTGAAACTTACTAAATACAAATTGCGCTGGAAATGCAATCTTTCGTAACGACATGTGTTATCTCTAGAAATCTCGAACTATATGCTAAAACTTACAGTATCTCAACTTTGCGTCAATTAGACCTTAAGTAGGTTTCATCGGTTAACAAAACGAACCATTTAGGGTGGGTACATTCGAAAAACAATGAGATCATTTGGGTATATGAGCCAGAAGATATAGGATTTTGGATGGTATGAAATAAAGTTGAATGGAGTGGCTTAAACACTTTTTGATATATATTCCTGACAACCATTTTTTTAGGATTCAGTTTTTTTCTCTCGTGTTTTTCCCGGTTCATTGGTATACTTTGACCTGTTAGCTGAATTACTGTTTTTGCGTTCTTAAAAGACTTGGGAAACTAACCACATTTTTCACCAGAATAATCTTACTCCCCCCAAATACAACGATAAAAGTGCAAGTGAATGGTTTCGATAAATTAAAAACCTACTCCAGCTACTTTATTCTGGACGGCTGATCAATGTAATCGTTTCCACACGAAGCACGCCTCATATTCTTCGTGCAAAGAAGTCATTGTAATAAACCGCGAGGAATACTGCACTTACCGAATGGGATCAATATATTCCGAGGCCACTAACCAAGGTTCACGACGTTTGCTATCTATGTGTGCATGAGCTCTGAAGAATGGTTGATAAGCAGCCGCCTGATACCATCTTGTCAATAACTCAGAATCTGGATTGCCGAAAAAACCTCCCACGTCAGCTCCACATAGAGTTATCCCCACGATCGATATGCTGAGAAGCATAGAAGTTGAAACCTAGAGTAGCGAAAAATACCATGCATAGTAACCAAGTGCGTAATACATAATCTATAGTTTCTAAAACAAGTAACAACTGTCAACATGTCTCAGGAACTGTTGTGATAAAATGTCGGTAGCTATATCCATAAAATAATAAGGTTAGTAAGTTTAACGCTGAAACCACTATTAGTATCCTTTAAACTCAACAAAATGATCTAAAACGATGAATTGGTTATGATTTGCGTTGTATTTCTACTTACTTAAAACCGATTCAATCAATCAGTCATACGTAACGTAGAACCTGAAAACATGTGTATATCGGTTCAAGTCGCCGTACTTTATTAGCACAGCGAGATGAAATTGCCAAAGCACATCCCAAATTAGTACATGTAGTAACAGTACTAGTGGTGGGAAAAAAGGCACCGAAGATATGATTGCAGAAGATAACATGGATCAGTGGAATAAAAAAGTCTATGAGGTAAATTAGAATCGATGGGGAGACAGAGAGGGAATGAACCAGCGCCATTACGAACGATTCTGAGTTATGTCACCCAAAGTTTTTAACCATCGTTGAAACCAATCAAAACTGTTCAAAGGGTTTCCTACATATCAGGTGGGTCAGGTTACACCAGAGATTTGTTCAATATATTGACCACAATTAGTTGTTCAATCAGTCTTTACCGGGAATAACCAATTCCTGTGAAAGTACTTAACCTTAAGGATTTAAAGTTGTGGAAACTTTGTAAAAACAAAACGCCAAATATTTTAACACAGTATCTAAGGTATTAATGCAAGGGGAACTGCAGTTTATATACTCCTCGGATTTGAATTGTTCACAGGGTAGTGTGCACGTACAAACACAGATTTCACTTGGAATTGTATGGTCCGAAAATTTTTTGTTAATAGATGTTATTTTAAATAAACATTAATCATAAAATATATCATCAAACCTAACGTGAAAATTTAGGTGTAACTGTCTGAAAAATGTGTAAAAAATAACCGTTTCCTTTTATCTCTTAATACTAGTTTCATAAACCGTACCAATACATCCTTTGTTGAATGAATGACCATAATCCTAAATAAGGAAACAACTTTTAACGGCTGATCTAAAAACCGTGGTCACTATGATTACATAGGACAATATATGAAACTAAATCAAGCACACATCATAATTATTTACGTATGATCCACACAGTTAACGAACTCTTTCAGTGAAAATAAGTGTTAATATCAAAAAATTACCTTTAAGTGTGACCAATCAGCAGTATTGTCTCCGGTCCAAACAGCTGCTGTCTGTTGTGAACCAACAAAAAACGCACGGGTTAACACAAAAGGACGTTCTACGCCGTTCGACCTCAACATGAGTCCATCCCAAGTTGACTTATGCACGTATAACCCATATAAGTTATGTATATCACGATGCTCCCAATCACCTGCATGCTTGGCATCCTTCAAGCAAAAATGGAAACATGTAACAAGAAAAATTAGCAAACAATTAAACAAGGAGATTTTCGACTTTATAAAATGAAGCTGATAATTAGTTCGGACTTCAACCGACTGTTTATTGAATTTTTAATGTAGACGTTATTTAGCGGCTGTTCTAAACTTATGTCTGCTTTATGATTATAAGTTATTTGACAAAAAACACAAATAACGCGAAACCTGAAATATGTTTATCACTCTTAGTCACTACATTCCACATCAACACGATCATATGCAATTGAAGAGGGTGAGAATAATATCAAAAGTTGTGGGGAATCGAACAGTAGTAGTTTTAAAGGAGTGAATAAGATCGACAGATAAAACGTTAAGAACATTAATATGTTCAAAACATTAGGAGAGCTAAGTAATCAAAAGACTTACACTGCTGTGACAAATATTAAGCAAATATCTCGGAATTCGGATTGCAAAATACTAATGTTCCAACTATCACAAGACTTTCCCTTGCTCACGCTACTGGGACAAAGGGTTATTGGCTTTATCGGTTGATGTTAGATCCTAAAATGACAATCTTTAGATTTTTCCAACCTGTTTCAATGGTGATCAGCAAGGTGCGCTAATTTGGGAGTAACAAATCTTTCATACACCTCATTTAGGGGAGAGTTACTAGTTTGATCAACCACTTCTACCTAATAATCTACATATGACATCAATATTGTTCACTCAGTGGTTTCATTATGGTGAGGCAATGTTTTAAAAATACGGATGATTGAATGGCATCAACCTACCCCTGTTTTCTAAGCCATCCCTTGCACTCCTAATATAGAAGGAATGAGAATTTAGTACAGCAAAGCCCCCAAATGCCCTGGTACGGCCGAGGGTGGGAAAGGTCAAATCTCCCTCGAAATGCTTTCACGCGTATACAGCTACTTTCAAGGATGTCCTACTCACTGCCTTCTCGCCATGATGTTTTTACGAAGTTGAGAGGACGAATGTCCGGTGTTTTAACAGGGTTGATTGATACGGAGGGTTATTTATATGTATCTAAACACATAAATATGGGTACAAAGAGGCACCAGATATATATGCGCCTCACAAATCTCATTTGATTTGTGTGAGGGCTATGATACTGCCCAGATGCCCAAACTGAAACAGATGGTTTTCTTAGGGGGCCACACCCCAAGCCTTCGACCTAAAGGTCTGATCCACAAGGCAGTGGAGCATCGTGAGGAGATGCAGTCCCATGGTAGCCGGTGACCAATAATAGGTTCATACGCCATTCGTTCCATCAGGATACTGGAGCCCATGTGCACCATTGGTTTGGAATCAGGGTTTTCCAACTCCCCTAGGTGAACACTCCACATCCACCAACCCGGTTAAAGCGCCGGACATTCGCCTTTCGTCCTCTCACTTTCGTGAACAACACCCCCGCCAAGAGAAGGCAGTGAGTAGGACTTCCCTGGCAGAGGCTATATATTCGCGTGGCCGTGTGAGAGCATTTCGAGAGGGAGAGTGGACTCTCCCCACTCTCGGACGTACCAGGTCATTTGGGGGCACGGATCCACCTAGGAGATTTGGAAAACCCTGATTCCAAACCAATGGTGCACATGGACTTCAGGATCTTGAGGGAACAAGCGGCGCATGAATCTACTGTTGTGATGAGCGGTTGCACATAGTTAAAAATTTCGTGTATCTGAGTTGTTTTTTAAGTGCATGTGGTTGCTCTGTAGATGAGATCAATCTATAAACAGTAAAAACCAAGACAGCTTGTGCCTATCTGGGTCGTCTTTGGTGCCATTCTGATGTTAGTCTGGCTGTTAAAGGTTGGGCTTACAACGCTTTATTGAGAGCAGTTATGGTCTATACCTGTGAAACCTAACCTCTTCATCCTAAATTTAATACTGTTCATAAATTAACAATGGAATGCCCACAAAAGATGGATTTGCGTTATTTTCGAGTTTTACATCATTGACAGCTGTTGACGAATCATTTAACTTGACGTTACCATCAAACTTTGTCAGTCAAGAGGCTCTATAAAACGTTTTCGTCATTATAAATGGCGTAACAAAAATGTGCACTTTGCTTAAAGCTCTTTACCAGAGAACTTTGTAGGATTAAGTAGTGTCCGTCAATTCTTTGATAGTTGATTTCACTGTTCTTTCGAGTGCACTTTCATACACTCAGCTTCAAGATACAGTTTGTATAAAAGTTGACTTTTGAGACTAAAGTAGTTAGACCAAAGCTGGAACCAGCTATATAATATTTGGAAGTCAGGTGCTTTGACCACTAAGTCACTGCTCTGTCGAAGATGTCCACTATCCACATTTCAACATAACTTTGTGAACATCCTTGTATGAGCAACTTTTGCCTGATTTCTCAGGCATTTATTTACCTAAAGCGTTTCAACGATGTGATGTACACAGAAGGTATACATTTGGTTACTGATAGCTTATGAGAGGGGTGAACCTTTAAACGCCTCAAGTGACGTTGCGATACTGTACAAGATGTGTTTCTTTCTCTTTGAATTTAATGTCCCCAAGACGGTTTGTGTCATCATGTATCTCGACAGCAGAAGACTAATCAGTTGGCCTTGTCTACCACTTATTTAGGAGGTTTCATGAGTTATGATGGTTTGAGTTTTGACAAGATTTAATTAGGGAGTTTTTAGGCTTCCTTTAACCCTTACAACATGTAGTAGTGGTGAATCAAACGACTACTTTACTGTCATTTACTTACTACTTATTTCACTCTTTGATAAGTTCTGTAGTGTGGCGGTAGTCAGTTGATTAAACTATAAGATATACCTAAACTGTTTTCACATAAATCATGTGGGACATATCAAAAGATGAATACGGCGATGTCCTCATTCTAGTACGAAAATATCATCAGTTCACATTTTTACACAATTCAACTAGTTATGAAACTATTGTCATCTTAATTCTGGAAAATATTTAAAGCTATGGCTTAAACCGAATTCAAAGTGATACTTGATCTTAATTACAAATCCAAACTATTCAGACAGAGACTCCAACCCATGTCTGAGCAATGACCTATATAGATGTCCTACAATATACGAAGTAAAAACAGTATTAAAGAGAACAGGTAAATATTTACAACACATATTCCAGTTTGTGCAAGCCGTGGTCAAGGTTAAAGACAATAGTACACAAACTAGAGTGGCCTCCTTACTTTATGCATAGTAACTTCAGGGCCATTAAAAACTGATGGTTCACCCATATCATTCCAGGTAAACATGGAATCTTTGCAAACAGGCTCATAAGTAAGGAATAGATTTGACCACCACTGCTGAACAGATTTATCAGTGAAATCAGGCCACGCACTAGATCCAGGCCAACACCAACCATCAAATTCGGTCCCATCTCTAGTTTTGACGAAAATCTCATTATTTTGGGAATTACTAAGAAAAGATTAAACGAAGAGGTTTCCATTAATTAAAAAATTATTCGTCAGAATGCGTTTATGTTCGCAATACAAAGAAATGTTTAACATTGATTAATAAATCTACTCTAATGCCAGATAATTTACTGGTAGCTTCATTTATGCAAACGGGTTGGAAGAATGGGTTTAGTTTCTGGATATAAACTAGTTCCATACACAATTAATATCAGATGACAGTACTTGGTGAGTTTTTCTTTTATTTTATTATTTGCACCAACATCCGTGTCCAAAATATGACTAACAACTGCACATACAGGTTTCTTTACCTAAAATTTTCACTTATTATTATCTCTCTTTGAGAGAACGATAACTTAGATGCTTGAGAAACTTCCTATATGTTCAATACTCTTTGTGGAACCATTTCAATATCATCTAACAATAATGTATGACAGTTTGACTACTAAACATGTTTCCAGAACCATGAGTCAAAAATATGAATTTAAATAAACTGTAGGACGGTAGCAAAGTTAATTAATATAGAATCAAGACGAGAAACTGAAAATAAACTAGCCAGTATTGTTTCAGATATCAATGTCTAAGAAAATGTTTGATATATTATAAAGTAGGTTTTATATATGCAATATCAAGAGGGCTATCACAGACACCATGGAGTTTATAAACGTTTCAGATAGACATAAACAAAATCTTTGTAACAGGACTAAAAACTTCTTTCCTATCTGCAATTCTTGGATGCAATTATTTCGACATAATTACATACTTGAGATTTGACAGTTTTTATCACCTAATTAGCGAGAAAGCAATTCTGTCAAAGATTCAGTAAAATCTCCATTGTAGTGGGGGAAGTTTACCCACAGAACTTTGTGTTTAAAGGAATCATACATAGACAGTTTTCATGAAATGGTAAAAAGTGGTAAAATTACCTGAATAAAGGCCAATTCGGGTCACGTTTAATATGAGGATCAACAACAGTAACGAGCTTTCGACCTTTAGCGTTCAGTTTATCAACCATTTCTTTTGGATTTGGAAATTTGGTTCTATCCCAAGTAAAATAACGTTTACCATCAGTGTGTTCAATGTCTAACCACAGAACATCAACAGGCATTTCGTATTCATCAAAATGTTTGTCTACAGAAAGTAAATCAGCTTCATCATTGTAGTTCCATCTACACTGATGATAACCAATTGCAAACAGGGGTGGTAACTTGGTGGTACCTACCACACTAGCATAAGAACGCATTGCATCAGATGGAGTACTACTCACAAACACATACAAATCCACTAAGCCGGACTCAGACATCCACCTCGTTTGTACTGAAGATTTCTCTGGTTTTTTCGAGAAGAAGCCGGAAAATATTCCGCTGTTTTTTGAGTCTGAGTAATCAATATCGATCCATGTTTCCGACGGATTAAGCCACAAGACACCTACAGTATTGTTTTGATTGTGCCCCCACATAACAGGGACGGAACCATATAAGGCCATTTTGTTATAGACCTCATATTCAAATACATCAAGGTTATAGAGTCTATAAGGGTCGCCGTCACTTGTAGATTTCAAGACGAATCCATCGGCATGTTCTGGGATCCCATAGACATGACTAAATCCCTGAAAATCGAAATCCATTGAGATGGAGTTTAAGCCGTGAGGTCTTGTGTCAAGATGTTCCTTGAAATATTCTGACCATGACTGGTCTTCAGGAGCTGAGTGCTCTGTACCTACATGATCTTGTTTTTCATTTTCCTTGTCCTCATCGGTAGTAGAGTCTTTTGATACATCTGTATTTCCTGAAGAATCTTCGGAACTTTTTACAGTAGAAATATCAACCTCATGATTTTCACTTGGTAGCGTATGATTGTCATTTTGAGATACTGAATCTTTACCGATAATAGGCTTTTTCCTCTGATGTTCAAAATTTAAAAGGCTTCTCTTATTTGCTGATGCTACAACAACATCATTCAGCAAAAAATCGATATGAAAAGGGTTATAATACACGACTGCCTTGTGTCCAGACTGTCCATCCAACACTAAACTATTCTCAGCAAATACAGACCTGACAGGGGCCTTTTGAACGCTTAGCAAAACGTCTCCTGTAGGTACACGAAACCTTCTATACTCATCTGTCAATTCATTAATGAGTACATGGAAGATTGAGTGTTGATTATAGGTAACATCCAGTGACAGAGAATGGTTTAGATCTCCAGTGTAAATAACTGCAGTCATTCCATATGGGTTTATCTTGACAGAACTTGGTTCTAACCAGTGCGCAAGTTCCCCTGGTTTTATTTGTCGTTGTCGAGTACAGAACCTGTAATATAAGTAAACTATAAAATTGTTTAACTTACGAGCTTTGATCACATGTTTTAAAATTAGCACGATCTACCGACCACGAGATATTGAGTATCAAGAAAATAAGACCTAAACTCTCTAGCCTCAAAAACATGCTGAAAGAACTGTTTCAACAGGTTAACGAGTTTTGCTTGGTAAAAAAGTGAAGGGATAATCTTGCGTGGGATTCCAGTCTGCCAGGTCAAACGGCGCAACAAAGGGTCTGAGAAAAGAAAAAACGTAGGTCTAAAACTTAGTAAGTATATTTTAAACAACTATATGAATAAAAGATAAGTAGTCAGTAATCGACCCGCGAAGTAGGATTCTGAAATTACAAGCTATAATGGCTAGTTTTAGAGAAAACGCTTTCAACCAGTTGATATGCGGTTGTTTACGTAGTAATTAAAAGCTGAAGGTCGCCCTATATCAAGCCAGCATCATATGAGTAACAAGAACCAACGCAAGTAAATTCAGTGAACACCAAATACTCGTTTAGTGATAATGAGACCAACAAAAGTTAATAGCGAGCAAGAGCGCCAACAATAGTACCTATAGACGAAAAAGACTAGAAACTATCTTGCCCACAAATGCCCTGGTACAGCCGAGAGTGGGGATAGTCCACTCTCCCTCTCGAAATGCTCTCACACGGCCATGCGAATATATAGCCTCTGCCAGGGAAGTCCTACTCACTGCCTTCTCTTGGCGGGGGTGTTGTTCACGAAAGTGAGAGGACGAAAGGCGAATGTCCGGCGCTTTAACCGGGTTGGTGGATGTGGAGTGTTCACCTAGGGGAGTTGGAAAACCCTGATTCCAAACCAATGGTGCACATGGGCTCCAGTATCCTGATGGAACGAATGGCGTATGAACCTATTATTGGTCACCGGCTACCATGGGACTGCATCTCCTTACGATGCTCCACTGCCTTGTGGACTAGACCTTCAGGTCAAAGGCTTGGGGTGTGGCCCCCTAAGAAAACCATCTGTTTCAGTTTGGGCATCTGGGCAGTATCATAGCCCTCACACAAATCAAATGAGATTTGTGAGGCGCATATATATCTGGTGCCTCTTTGTACCCATATTCCTATGTTTAAATATAATAAAAATAAATAGAAACTATCTTATGCGGTCTACAACAAATGAAAGGAGCAACCTTGGGATCTATAGTGTACTAGGCAGAAAACAGAAGTCATAAACCAAAATCCATTCTGACAACTGACACTCGGGAGTCTGTAAAAAGGTGGTACGTCAGGTATGTACGACTAGTTAGGTTCAGAAAAATGTGTGTTAAATCCTGACATTAGGATTAATATGGGTATCGTACGATTGACTTAGCTTAATTCATTAAACACGTTACACAATTGGTCTTTGTATTAGCAAACCCATCATAGCATACACCACATGTGCATGCCACTGTCTACAGACGATTTGCGCTCTGTATATGGTCTGATGAATCCATGTGTATAAAACATAGAACTTCGTATTCAACCTCTTAATATTGCAGTTATTTGAGCTTATCATACAACGGGATGGGTACTGTACACTAAATAAATCTCAAATACGTAAACAACGGAACACAAATTACTCGAGGTGAGATAGACACTAAAAACTAACAAGCCCGACTGAAGAGCTATATACCTCCCATCTACAACAGACTAACATTGTGCATCGACCAGACTGTGGTTAGAACACAGCCAGCGTTACTACGATCCCAGCCTCATGAAAAAACCCGTCCCACTTTAGGAGACTGATGAGCCCATTTTGACTCCATTGCCAGGTCTTCTGATCCGCAGTAAGACCCACTACCGTTACGTCACATACTTGCCAACCTATTGTGATGTCCTTTTTTATTACACGGTTGTTATCGCCTTGGGAACAAATCCTTCAACGTGATAAGAACACGAAGGAGATTTTCTGTAGCTCGAAACAACACAATGTCCTGATAGAGTGAGTATACTATGTGCTGTTTACCCAGTACCGCGTATGGAAATCGTAGATAAGGAATTACATGACAGGGAAATAGCCAACAACTCTATAAAAGGAATGAGATAGACCTACGTCTAATAACAAAAACACAAGACAACTACTGATGATACCACAAATTTCAGGTTCAAGGAACCTGACAAACCAAACCTGAGATGAGCAAATGCTCTTTTGAACGCGTCAGACGACCTACAGTCGAAACGCGCTCCGGTGAATGGTTCAAATGGTTCAAATGGTTGAGGACGGAATAGAAGAGGCTTTCGCTTAACGGGCTTCCGTGTCTGGTAGCAGTGGGTCACCAATACATCCAGGCAAAAACCTAGGTATATATTTCATGGCAATAATTCATTGTAATATCTACTAATAGTCTTGAGCATATGAAAAAAACAGAGTTTTCCAAAGAAGTTCATTTTAAATTTCCGTTTGGTAAGGACAGCAGGCTAAGTGGCCTGTTTTAGCCCTGTCTATGGTGGTCTCTCAGTTGATTCAGATTTCTTTTGAAAGCATCAACAGATGAGATTTCAATCACGAGTTGGAATGATGAATTCCACTTGTTGACGATTCGACGAGGAAATCGATATTCAGCTAATAAGTAATTTGTTCTGGGGTTGTGAATTTTTTCTACAGTTTCCTTGTAATTTTTTTTGGAAGATATGAGAAGTGAGGGTATATCTGATGCGAATCTATCACTAAGTGTTTGAAAAATTGTGATCTGATCGCCTGACAGCCGCGCTATTCAAAAAAGACAGTTGTAACGGAGTTGAAATCGCCAGGTATGACATTGCTAACAAATTATATTTTCTTCCTAATGCAGGGCGAGCAAGCATAAATTCTTTGGAGGAGGAAGAGCAAGCCCTACATACACTTAGCTTACAGGATGACTCATAAGACTATTTTGTAAACTGCCTTTTTCCTCTGTACTTCACCCAACTCGCGAATTTTCATTTTGAAAATGAAAGACTCGTGGCTTCCACTCCGTGTTTTCTCTTGGTGTGAAGTTCTCGATTAACATTGCGTGTTGTGGTTTCAGATCTCCTCCTTCTTTTTATGACTGCTGATTACAGAGAGGTATTACACAGAGGTATTTTTCCTTTAAGTAAATTTTATAGTGTTGATCGTTAAATTACGCATCACGAGTAGTGTTTTTGCTTTAATTGAAGTAATCTCAAAGAGTGCCACTTTTTCTATAGAGAAGTTAATCATCTATGATTTACAAGTACAGTTACATAAAACTAAAGGCACTGGTACTTATTCGTCGTCGTTGAATATATCTTCAAGCATTGCTTGTATCCATAGGTGTTAAGATCTTTCTGTAACTACTGAAGTCGGAATTTTTATTGTTTCTTTACTATGACAAGATTGAAACATCGTTGTAGTAGGCCAGCATGCTATTTCCCGGTCAATAAGAGAAGGCAATGTGATAATTGAATTAAGTGATATCGCAATATGCGCACCGAACTCACACCGGCTGCAAACAAACGGTGCTTCAGGCAATCATCACGTTGGTTGTGTAAATAATGTTGTTCTACTGAGTCTCTGTTGGTTCTAGTTGCTAAACTTAGCTAGGAAATTGTCCACTGATAAAATAACGGCAGCAGATGATAAGAACTCTGCTTTCGAGGAGATAGAGAGCGTTATTATGAGCCCACTTCTAGACTTAAATGAGACCATAAAGGTGGACCTCGTCAGAGAAACAAATAAGCATATGGATTTAGGCGTTGTTACAAGAAGAAAGAAGAATCGCTCTGAGAAGAAGAAACTACCTATAGACAGTACTAAGGCATGTGAATCTGCGGGTTCAGTTTGGGATTCACGTATCAATGTAATACAAACTATAGGAGATCCAAGTCTGAGCAGTAAAGAGGAAGTGATCAAAAGACAAAATAAGTTAAACGAGTGGCTCATAGTCATACCTAGGAGAAGAAAGGTAAGAAAAGAGAACGTACCTCTGGGTTTGACGCTGCATTGAATTCATAGCGCAAGCAAGAGGCGGTTTTAGGAACTGCACGTCAATACAGACCACGCTAAGAGTTCTGTCATTTTTCATAAGTTAAGAGAATCTTCCTATAAGGAAGCAAAGGCTAGATTTGAGCACGACCGCGGTCATGTTAATTCCTGAATAAGCAAGCCCCTCCCATAAACAGTTCCAGGAGTTAGCATCTGTAAGCTTTATAGAATAGGATAAAAGGTGGATTCTGAAAGTCCTCAGAAAAGCCGACTCTCGAAGGTTACATTTGCCACGGTTAAAGAAAGAAGCTCAAGTAAACTGATTGGGTCCGGAATATACGTCCGCGAGGATCTCAGACTAGCCTGTCGTATTAGGAGACAAGCTACAGAAGTGGAAATAAACTAGCGCAGCGGAAACGGTGGAAAAAACCTCGTTCTTAAAAGCTTTCAAATCGTAAAAGTTCGGAGCAAAGCGATACTTAAACCACTCCAGATGGTAAAGGAAAGTTCTCTGCGTAATTAAAGGTATGCTACACAAATACTCGCAGCCTACGAAACAAAATGGCAGAGCTCAAGTCAATGGTGGATGTAAAACTTATTTTGAAGACTTTGTTTGTGAAAATCCCTCCATGCATACATTTGCAACTTTTTCTTATTGATTTCTCTAGTTGTACATTTCGTCAGTCCTTTTGATGCCGTTTGAGATGGTAATATTTTATTTCATTGTAGTTTTCTCATTCTTTTTTTGCCTTCACTGTGTTGCTGTGTTTCCTACTGAATTGTTTTAATTTGTTTTAGTTAGTAACTAATCTTGGCTGCGGTCATATCGATTGTTCCCCTTATGATTATGTTGCTTGAGTTGACTGGGATTGTGCATTTTGGCTGTGACTTGGAGCACTTTTCCAGAATTGGAAACACTGTGTTATAAAGCAACAAACTATTATCTTTTGAACAGATTTTTACTTGATCTATCCAGAAAGGGTGAAATAACATTTTTTCTTTTGGCGCGCTCGATCGATTATTGGGGGAACAATTATTGGTTGAATAACTGAGTGGTGATATTTGTTTAAAACCGTTATTTTCCCAATCCCCTTGTTTTTATTTCAACTGTGAGATAACGAGTGATTAAGCTACCCGGACAATTATACTTCAACCAAACCTTAGTTTGGATCTAACACTGGATAAAGAAATGCTAGATGTTATCGCTGTGTCAGAAACTTGGTTAACGTCAGAAATATTATATAATGAAATTCTGTTGGCTGGTTTTTTATCCAGTAGGGCTGATCGATTGAACCATAGGGGAGGTGGAGTTATTATGCACAGGAAAAGAACACTAACTATACGACTAGTTGAAACAGTGGCACATATTTCAGGGACAAGTGAACTCATGAGTTGCCAGCTGAAATGTAGATGGCAAGATATTGAATTAGTTGTAGTATATCGCAGTACAGAATGTGTAGTATATGATTTCCTAATAAGCAAACTTAGTTCCTGATTTAATAAGGTTAAAAGCCTTGTAGAAGGAGACTTTAATGTACCGTTTATGGACTGGGTTAACTAAGAAGTAGGGCCATCGATAACGTCATTCGATTGAAAACTGTTAGTAACCTCGATTGGATTAGCTTCGTTTCAACACATTAGAGATCCCACCAGATATGATTTAAGAAATTCTTTTTCTCTTTTGGATTTAGTCTTCACACACGGTGATGACGTTGATCAAGTGAATTTCCTCCCATCACTAGGGGAAAGTGGACATGCATTCATATCATTCAAATTCAGAGCTGAGATTGCCTGTCAAACAGTTGTACCAGCCCGTTCTCATATATGGAAGGCAGGTATGGAGGCATTCAACTCCACATTATCGGCTGAAAACTGGGAAATTGACTCAAGGGCATCAGTACAAGAGGCATGGACACATTTCAGGCAGTTAAACAATCGGGTAATTCAACCATACATACCTTGGATAGTCCTAAAGAAGAAGAAACACGACCATCCCTTGATAGACCGGAATATTCGACGTTTACCAAGACAAAAGAAGAAATGTTGAAATGTGGCCATCACCCTCGGCATAGCGAGTACAATGGAACTCTACAGATCGGTAAGAAACCAGCGAATAATTGAAATCCGGGAATCTCACAGGAAATATGAGATGGGGTTTGCACAATGTGCACTCAAGCAACCTAAGAGACATTTCTCGTACATAAATTACATAACAAGGATGCGGCATTGAATTCCCAACCTAAATGAGGAAGGGAGTGGAACTGAATTAATAGAGGGCGATCAAGAAAAAGCAGAGGCTAATGGCAAACTATTTTGCTGCTGTTTTCACTCATGGACCTCATCTAGAAGACCAAAATACAAAGTCAATAAACCGTCTGCTCACTGTGAACTTTGGTAGAAGCGATGTATTAAGGCTCTTAGCACCTCAGATGCAGAGAAGTCAACAGGACTGGACGAAGTACACCAAGAAATCCTGGGACGTATTGTACAATATATCGCAGCCTCATTGACTGTGATCTTCATTTTGTCGCTTGATCAAGATATGTCACCCAATGGACTGTAAGGATGAAATCATCACTCCCATACATAGAACAGGACCAAGACAACTTCTATCTAACTACAAACCTTTCAGCCTCATCAATGTCGTGGTCAAAATACTGGAAAGAATAATAAAAAAAGACTATAATTGCATGTAAGGAAATAAACAACATGTTAAGCAGCGAACAACATGGTTTCAGAAAAAGTTTATCTTACACAACAAACCTCCTTATAGCAAGGAAGCATTGGACAAAGGCTCTAGACAACGGAAAGTCAGTAAAATGGTCTTCAGCAAAACACTTGTCAAAGTTCAACAAATGGACTACTGTTGAAGCTAGAAAGTCTTGGTATTGTCGGACCTCTTTTTAAATGGCTTAAGGATTTCGTAGTAGGTCGTAGACAGAAAGTAAGGGTAAATTCGAGGTGCTCCACTTGAAGACCAGTACTTAATGGAGTACCTCAAGGTTCCTAGGTCCTTTACTTTTCATACTTTATGTAAATGATCTCTCAAGTATAACACAGTCCCTAATGTTATTATACTCTGACGATGTAAAAATCTGACGGGTAATAACTGGAGACACAGACTCATGTGCTCTTCAGGCAGAATTAAATAATGTGATTAACTGGTCTAAAGAGTGGCTGGTGCCTACCAACGCAACCAAGTGTCTATATGCACATTGCGGATACAAAGGTTATTAGGTGCAGCATAGGGGAAGTGCCAGTACCCGTGGTCATGTCTCATAAGGATCTAGGGGTGACAATGAGTCATGATCCTAAGACAGCGGCCTATTGCCCAAAAGTCGCAGCTTAAACAGTTATGACCGTCTGAGCTTTAAAAGGGACATTCTCTAAATTAGACACTACCATGTTCATTAGAGAATACACGACCTTAGTGAGAAGTAAGCTTGAGAACTGCATTCAGGCTGCAAGCCCCTGTTTAAAAGGCGGCTCGGATTTCCCAGAAAACGTACAGAGGGCGACTACACGTACAATACCAGAACTTAGGGGTTTACCATGTCAAGAGCTGCTTGAAATACTGGACCTCTTTTCTCTGTCCTATCGCAGACCAGTAGCAGACCTAACTTTGCTGTACAGAATACTGAGAAATGATTTTGGACCTAACCTATTCTCTCTTTTTCTTCCCACTAGATCGGGACATCTCAGAGGACGTGGCAGGCGAGCAGAAAAGCCAGCAACGAACGAAACACTCGTGACATACAAATGTCTCCACTTGGAGCCTGCTGTCCGAAGCAGTGGTGTCCGCACCTTGAATTGACTCGTTCGAGTGAAGACTGGACACTCACAGAAGCATACTAGAAAAGGAATAAAACGCGTCGTGGGCCTTCTGTCCTTACTACTACTGAGATCTCCTTTCCTTGGTACCCTAATGAGACCTTTTTCCTCCTCCTTCTAAATCTTTCTGAATAGAATGTGGGAAATGTTTGTAATTTCTTCAATGTGTAACTTCATGTTTCAGCTGGTATGTTGTCAGCTCCTCGTGCTTTCCCTTTGTTTATTTGTGTAATGGCTATATTGATTTCTTCGATTTTCTGTGCGGCGATAGTTATAGAAATGTCTGTGTATGCTGCCTCTATTTTCAGTGGGTTCAGTGGGTCTGGTCTATTCCAGAGTTCTTAAAATCGTTCTACCAGCCTGTTTCTATTATCTAGGATCTCAGTCGTGACTTGCCTTCTTTGTCGTTTACCGGTCTTTCCGGTTCACTACACTTCCCTGTTAGTTCCCTCGTTATGTCATATAATTGCTTCATATTTCCTTCTCTTACAGCTTTTTCCGCTTTCGTTTGTAGGTCTTCCACGTACTTCCGCTTGTCAGCTCAAACGCTGGGTTTTCGACAGCAATCCATTCCTTATGATGATGCTTCTTGTACCCCAGGAGTTGGCGCTTCTTTGATCCATTTCCAGTTGTCCTCCGTTGTGGTTTCATGAGATCCCCAAGATTCCATATTGGTTATCATGAATAGTGAATCTCAAAAATACGTCCTGGTAGGATGGATAAATCGACCACCTCATTCGGATACTATCTTCGACAAATTGTCAATATATTTTGATTGTTTCTCACCAACCATATACGTTTGGATTCATCGGATGATATTTTGGTTTGGCCTACGTTACATAGGATTCAACTTCGGTACCAAAACAATCTAACAAGTTGGCGAAACGACGAAGCTTCGTGGATGTACTAATAAAAATAATGACCCGACTGAATGGATAGAATATACTCTCTTGCGCAGGATGTGAAATGACTTGTTACAGTACAAAAGTGTGGATTCCGAAGATTAAGAACATCACTTATTATGAATGGTTTGATTTAATGCACCTGATCAAATGAGGTTCTAGCTTGTGTTGTTAACATTATTGGTGATGTTTCTTTTTTGCTGAGATTGCCCAAAAAAGCCTCAGTGAATCTTGTTTGAATACTTCTAATTTTTATCAAGTCATTTTGCCTGCGATTGAAATTAACTAGGATACCATTTTGAAGGATGAGCATGATACATGTTCTCCATAATATTAACCTAGATTCGGTGTTTTTTAAAACAGTCATTATGCAACCTCTGAGCTATTCTTCTTTAGGTAGCTGTTACGCAGTGTACTCAGAAAGGTTCAGACTGTTTCTATACATCAAATTGTAGTCGCGAATAATAATAATAATATATTTCTGCATGGGCAGGTACACTCCATTCTTAAAGGCATGATCTACATGTTACAACATAAACTGGTTCACAATATGTATCCCAAGCAGGGTTATTTATTAAATGTAATCTATATAAGTTGATAGCTGTTCATTCGTTCACATATAACGTTTTTTCTTCAAAATATTTTCCAAAGGGGCATCGCGTCAACGTTACATACCAGGTCCATGTTGAGGTTGTTTCATAATGTGTTTGTGTATAACCAGAATCAGGTTAAGGCCGTGGTCGATGTAAATAAATTCACTTTTGTCAACATTCAGTGGCAAATTTCACCACATAATTTATTCGTACAACTTGTTTATGTCTTCTTTGATTACAACTGAAATAGTCTTCTTTGACGCAATACGAGAATGAATAATGCACTTTTAATTTATCAATAAATGCGAAAGGCTTACAGCATTGAAGGAGTGAGCACATGTCATCTGTGAACAAAAAAGAAAAGGGAAAATTATACTTCTTTTTTTAATCGCACTAGATATAATCATAGGCTAACAGTAGCAACATCTAAAGGAAACGATTAGCCAAACGATTAGCAGAAGAATTTGAACCAGGATAAGACGGGATCCCGTATGCCAAGTGAAGAAATTATTTGATGAGATTCCTTTAAATGCTTTACTGAAAGTGCGGTAGAGAATTACCGATCACTGACCAACATCTCTTTGCGGGTAGTGTGATGGGAAATTTCCATGTGTGATTTGGATCATGAGCGACTAGTCATGAACTGATGATTAAAAGGGCACATCAGACTTTTCGCGGGCAAAAGGTAGAATATTCATTTGTGAGTTATTTTCTCTATGAATTCTTATAAGACAAAGGTCACATCAATGGATCTAGAGCAATCAATTTAGGCTATGTAGTCCTGTTCTGAACTAAATAGTAACAAGCGATGTTCTCCATACAGGTTGATAGACTCCATAGTTCATGGATAAGTCAAACAGTTTGATACCGAACAATGGATGTCGTCTAAAACCGCACTTCACGAATGATTATGGAAAATAATCAGGTACACTGTCATAAGGTGTTTTCAGGGCAGCTATAAACTGTTTGTCATTGGAAGACGGGCCGCATTCTATTCAGGAAGATTGAGAAGGAGGAGGAACAAGTAACGACAGACTGGGAGGAAAAATGTCTCATCAAGATCTCAGCACATGTGCAAACTACAGAGACATTACACTACTATCAGTACCAGGAAACACTGTCAACAGCGTGTTGCTGAACCGAATGAAAGATTCAGTAGACAACTAGCTTCTAGATCAACAGGACGGATTTTCTAAGGATCGGTCGTGCACAGATCAAATCGCAACACTATGGATTATCGTTGAACACTCAGTTGAATGTAACTCGTAACTATACATCAACTACATTGACTATGAGAAAGCATATGACAGCGCGGATAGGAGAACCTTATGGAACCCCCTTCGACATTATGGTGTACATGAGAAAATTGTCAACATCATCCGGGATTCATACGACGAGCTGCGCTGCACGGAGAACAGCTGACAAACACATTCCGAGTTGGGACCGGAGTCAGAGACGGCTGCTTACTCTCTCCATATCTATTTCCCATGGTGTTTTAAACATCACACCCTTCTATCATATGCACATCAAGAAATGCAGGTCAAAACAACCAGTGTAGCTGGATCCTCTTGATTAGTAGGCCCCAACCTGCACATGGGACAAAACATGATCCTCAAATACAACATGGAGAAGAACAACCCAATTTCACTTGACAGAGAAGCTCTGGATGAGGTGGGAACTTTCACGTACCTGATCAGCGTCATCGATGAACAAAGAGGATCCAATGCAGATATAAGTGCACGGATTGGCAAAATAAGGCCAGCTTTCCTACGGTTGAACGAAATATAAGACTTGAAACAACTGTCAGCCGACATCAAAGCCAGAATCTTCAATACGAACATCAAGACAGTTCTGACGTATGGAGGCGAATCTTGGAGAACTACCACAACCATCGTCAAAAAATGCATGTATTTGTGAAACAATTATTTACTCAATGTATGCAATCTCTGTTGACCGGATACCATCAGCAACAACATACTATGAGAGAGGACAAAGCAGCTTCCAAATGAAGAGAAAATTTTGAAAAGACAATGGAGGTGGATGAGACATACTTTGCAGAAATCATTAAACTGCAACACGAGGCGAGCTCTCACTTAAAACCCTAAAGAGGAAAGGAAAAAAGAAAAGCCAAAGAACACATTGCACCGGGAATTGAAGAGGATATCATAAGGGTGAATAGAAATCGGGAAAACTAGAAAGGATTGCCTATGACAGAGTTGGATGGGGAAAACTGGTTGGTGGCCTGTGTTCCTGCACGATGGAAAAGTTGTAATTTTTGAAATTATTGGTTAGGTTTCCTAACTTTTCACTGACTTCAATTATTTTATTCCTCGAATTAGATTTCTCTTTTTTTAACTTCAGTGTGTGTCATTGGACACGTGACTGAACTCTTGATAGCCAAAGAGATCATGAGGAAGCAGTTCCTCATGAACATAGCGTCCTGAGGCCTGTTTCTGGTAGTTTCTCAGGCATTCTTGTCATATTTTCTTTCCCTTCATAATTCTACAAGCTATGCTCATCATATAATTAACATTTTCAGCAAGTCATTAGCTACAATTTTGAGAGGAAATCTAATGCTGCGGGATAATAATAATAATGTATTTCTGCAGGGGCACGTACACACCATTTTCAGCTGGTTAAATCTGTGACATCCACGTTGCATCTTCGAATACTGATAGGGCGTTGGTCATCATAGAATAAAAATCAAACACAGAACGAGTCATTAATTCTGCTTTGGGTGGTGTAAACAGAGACAACATGTTCTTGCTCGGTAAGTTGTCCTAACTGACATTCTTGTGGAAGTTGTTTTCCGGAGCGAGCTGGTAAAAAAAACTTAGGTTGGTTAAGAGTTAACTGCAAACACTGAAGTATGTGTCAGAACATCAAAGCCTATTCACTTCTTATTTCGCATAGGTATCATATTTCCCATTACTTCATGTTGGGTCTTTAAAGGCTTTGTGTGTTTGGAAAAGTAGCCTCACGCTCCAATCCAAATTCGAAGACAGGAATAAGGACCTTTTCACTACAAGTCTGATTTCTTCCATCGGTCGACAATGTCGATATATGGACTGCCGTAAAAAGTATAGGTGATAGTTTTGAGCTTTGAAATGAACTGGATAAATCGACTGAATGGTCTAAACTTTGGCAATTATCGAAAAAACAATCTTTGTGGGAATCTAGAAGGTAGATTTTCGCTTGTCTAGAGATAATGATTTTTGACTACATTTGTAAATAATTTTTATCATTATTGATATCTTATACAGTATATGATTTCATGATATATATTTTTATAGTAATGACAATTAAACAGTCCATTGATGATTTCGGTAGTACTTATTACCTACGTTTTACAGAATTCCGTGGTCAAATGTTAACCACGAAAACACAGTTTCTCCACGGAACGCAGACCTGTGTGGTACGCTTTCGGTGAAGGCAACAATAATTTGAATCAAGATCCGACAGCTTTTTACTCTGTTAAACCCGATTACTTCAAAAGACGAATTTATAAAGAAGATTTACCCGGTGAGATCCCGAAAGATTTATCTACATTAGGGTGAATTCAATTATACGCTGATCAAATTTAACGATTATTGGTTGCAGAGTTTGATGTAACTGAGCGATTGTCGATGGAAGGCGAAATCGTTGTGTGTTAGTTTGTACGATGAATTTATACTGAAGTTCAAATAAACTAATATCGTACTGAATGAATTTTTAAGTATAAAATGTACTGAAACTCAATAATGAAAATTACTGTACAAAAGTCACATTACTCCAATACGTGGATTTTAAAAATGACCAATTTCATGATTGGAGTGTTCACCAGAACAGTGGCTTGCTGTTATTCGTCAAAGTTTTACAAAAAATTATCTATTTCCGAACTGTTTCATAACTGTTGAAGACCTGTTTAAGTTCAGGTGACCAGAACATCCCATTTATTTAATTTAGAGGGTCCATCCAATGAACGAGATGTTCAGTGTGACTTCCAGAAAGGAGTTCAATATTATGACGTATCATTCCAAAGAATGCTCATAGTAAATATTTGTCTATTTATTCATCTAATCGAGATAAATAAGACTTAAAAGACGTATTTAAGTAGAGCCAAGCAACATTTCCAGTGTTGAGATACAATCGGTTAAGCTGTATTCCAATCAATTCAATTAGCACATCAATGTAGTATTCTTTATGTGATGTTAGGTGGTTGAAGGTATGGAATCCAGGCTGTACGATAATCTTGAGTATATCTCACAGACAAATATCAGCTATTCTTGTGCATGGATCCAAAGTATTTACTAATTTGTCATAATTGATAATTCGTAAAACCTTGTTATTTAACAACAGTGGTCTCGTCAAAACAACTTCGATGTCGTTTCACTGTTTAAGAAATAAGTTTACTGCTAAAAATTGACAAATAAATTACTTGTTTTGCTCTGAATAAGACGTAAACCGAAAAAGAGATACAAATAAACAAAAATCTTGAAACATCAAAGTGATAATTTTACTAAATGAGGAATAAATAAACAACAACCAAAATAACCATAACAGCATTCAATTACAGTTAGAATAATGGAGCTCATTTCGTGTGCATGAATTGTCTGGGAAAATTCCTCTGACGAATTTCTTTAATTTTGGCATTGATTTGCTTGTACTCATATTCACATACATCAGTAAACGTTTTCTGAGTAATATCATTTGAATTTATGAAAGGCATTTTAGCAACACAGTCATCCCTAGGCTCTGAAAATAAATTAAACGATACACGATTATGCAACCAATCAATCGGATTTTCTAACGTCTGTTGATTACCATTAGTAGGAAAGGTAATTTTGGTAGTTGAAGAATGACTGGCTCTCTGACATGTGGCACATTTGTTTTCATTAATTATTCTTCTTAAATTCCTTAGTAAAGACAATTCACATTCCTTAGAATTCGCAACTTTTACCAAATCAATATATTTTGGTGTGAGACGATGAATTAATGGACCGATTTGTTCATTAACTTGACTAAGGAATCGATTATGTACAATAGTTTGATACCACATTGGATATATAGACCATTTACCGTTTGTTCTTTGAAACAATGCCCAATCACTTAAATTCAAATAAATGAAAATTAATATATCATTCCATGAATGCTTGGTATGGTTTGATTGATAATGAACTAATGCACGTGTCATGTAAAATTCTGATTGGAATGGTGCTAAACAAATACAGCGATCTAAATAATTTATTGCATTTGACCAATCACTTTGTTTAATTCGATTTTTACTTAACTGGTAACAAGTTAAACAGATTCTTCCATTGATTGAATTAATACTTTCGGGAATTTTCATCATATTGTTATTACAAATGCAATGGTTAGAATCGGTCAATAGTTTACTAATTATTGATTTTGCGTTTTCATATTCTTTAAGTGATTTTTCATAATTCCTCATGAAATATTGACAGTCACCAGATAAAATCAGTAATCTATAATTTTTAGGATCCACTTTCAAGAGTTGACGAATCAATTCATTTGACTCTTGATATTTCTCTTGTTTTAATAGCTTTATTGCATAAGAGTTTATTGTAAGAAATAACTGATTTCTCCCTAATTGGTACAGATCGGCTGAGTTCTTCTTATCAGTATCATTCCATGTATTGAATAAATTTATTCCATGCATAATACAATCTAGAGACTCGGTTAATCGGTCAAGTTTCCTTAAAATTGCTCCTTTATCAAAATATAATGAAATATTCTCTGGTTGGGCATAAATCGCTATAGTGATTGAATGTAATGAATCAAAGAAACGATTTTTCAACATTAATTCAATAGCTTCTTCTTGTTTATTGGAAGATATAATTTCAAGTTGATGTAATAAATTGTAACTTTCTAAATGATTTGGACAATTACGCAATGCTTTTTTCAAATCATAGTAAGCTTGAATTATTGACTGACCATGTTGTTTCGATAATAGATTAGCTCGTGCATACAACAGATCGGATAATTCTTTTAAGAGAAAAAAATTAGATACTAATAGTAGTGCACCAAGTGAAAAAACTATTTTTATCACAATTACTTGTTCGAAATATTGAGATAAAGTATCTTGAAAAAACGAAGACACTTTACACAGAATTATTGTTATATCCTGTGGAGATTTATGAATGGTAACTTTGAGAACTATTTATGGACCAATATGATATGTATATTTCCTATAGTATAATTGTTAAGTAACTAAACTATTCATATTCATGTCCCTCTTATTATAACCTTTATTTTGACCCATAGACTATTATTATACGATTTACCATTCTTGAGTTATCCTTAGTCCATTAATTACTGTTCCCCCTATTCACAGCCACATTTGGCCAAATCCTGTACAAATGTTATTTTCTATTTTGTGGTACGCTGTGGTCAGTTTGTTTGGTATATAAACCCAGTATGTTTGCGAATAACGATTCATATTGCAGAGGCTGTTATTGGTGCTCTGGTCTTAATTGGCTGGGTTAGGCAGAGAGCAGAACTGGTAAATACTCAAGACTGCTCATCTGGTTTTTTTGTATCATTGCTCTGAACGATAATTCACTCCTCTTCAATTGGAGGTTTTATAACTTCATATAATAAGGAGGGCACTCACTCATACGTTATAACAATTATCAACAGTAAATGACTAAAACTCTTAGACATAGCAAATGGAATAAATGAATCACACTATGAGAAGCTGGCAAATTTCATTATTTACTTCGCTTACTCGACAATAAGTAGGTTTTATATTCATTAATTTCATATGATTCAATATAAAGATAATATTTCTCAGAGTTTCTAGAAAAGATTTCATAAGCTTTTACTTCTTTACTTTCAAACAGACGTAGGTATGGACAAACTGAATGAATATGGATATATACAGATAAAGGTCTTGCTCGAGACTGTAGTATAAAAAGAGACAATTATTCGAATAAATAGGAAGAACAAGGCTGGATATACAATAAAAATATAGAGTGATGAATTGGTCTAAATCGAGAAGAAGACAAGTGAGGAAATAAATATGCACCAACATGACTTATTTCATGCAAGTATACATTAATTAGCCGATACGAAACAAAGATGATTTCGAGACAATTCTCAATGGTGTATGTTGCCACACTTCATATCAGTGCAACACATGGCAGCTAGACAGATAAATAGGAAAAACATTAAAATTCCGTTATTAATGATATTTGAAAAAAAGGAATACAGGATTTTTAGAATTTTCCAAATAATTTGAAGATCATGGAAACAAACCTGATATTACTTTAAATAGCTTGAAACAAGAACTACAATAATTGATACCAATGCTTGGCTTATTACCTTGTTTGCAAATAACTTCTGTATCACTCATTATTACATATTGAAGTGGACTGTAGTAAATTTTCGCTAAGTATGTACAAAATGTTCATGTTTTACATCTGACTTTATTAAAAATTCATACCATCAATAAATAATTATCATATAGACTAAAAATGAAGTTACTAGGGAAAATGATTAAATGTACTGGATATAACAGTATAAAGTTACACTGAAAATCCTATGCGGTAAACATTGATAAAGAAACTGACACATGTAAAATACTATTTTAAAGTTAGAACACACACACCTACGAGGTACATATAATCTCGAGGTTAGAATAGGATTTCCCATTAGTATTTCCTCTGGAATTTCCAAATTTTCGTTTTCCAAATCATTTATACATTTTGTTATCAAATTCACATAGTCATCATTACGTTCCATTGATTCATAAACTTGTAAAACACCCATCAATGTTACCAATGTTCCTGGTGTGATAGATGAGTTAGTGATTAAGTCTTTTATCTGAGCATATTGATCAATGAAGCTTCTGCCTAGCTCATATTGTTTTAGGGCTTCTTCCAATTTTCTTTGATATTTTAAATTCTCTCCATGAACGATGTGAAGGTGACCAGTCATTAATACAGCATTTTCATATTCTGTGCGATTTAAACTTGCAGACATGATAGATGGTGACTCTGAATCAGCATTTGCTAAGCCTCGATTTATTGACAGGGTGTCTAGTGATTTTGACCCTAAAGATATGGCCAAGTGTAAGTCGCTTATTGCATGTTGATAATCTGACAGCTTATGTAAATTGAATAATGGATAAACCGAAAAAGAACAAAGTATGAAACGGTAGTTCTTAAATAATTTTAATATTACTGTGACATTAAATACATCAAGATAGCTAGTAACTACAAATATTTTCAATCCCATTGTCAATGTTGCTTCAAAGAAGTCATAGAAACCCTACACAGATGACTCCTAACTGGTTGAAAGCCTAACAAATGCAATTAACTGAACAAGAAGAAAACAATGTTCATTGTGTGATAACACTTCTTGCGAAATATAATTAATTTTTCCTTTTATAGGCATCAGAATGAAGAACCAGTAATTGTGATTTAAATTCATTGAAATATATAGTTACTCCATGTAAAAAGAATAATAACAGTGTAATGATAGTTTGTTTCAGTAACATAGATTATCCAACTGATTCATTTTGAACAACCTCTGGATTTTACTTGATTGTTTATAATCTTAGATGATTTTTTCTTTTGAAATGTGGACAACGTCTTTATCTAAAACCAGAAGTACCAGTTGTTTATGAATCGAAAGATATTATGTGTAGACTGACGGAAAATTACAGTTCAGAAGATCATTTAGGAGCTAATCTCAACTTAAATGTCAGAATATTTAAACAAAAATCGAAGAAAAGAACTGTCAGATAAATAACTACTGTTTTATTATTTCATATATTCAGAGGCATATTTACAGAGTTTATTCTACGATTTGTCAAGCGAATATTGCAAGGGCTAATGAAGTATAACTAAAATTTACATTTTTGTATATCGGAACATTTATCTATGAAGATAAAAGTTTAACTCTCAAGTTTTAAAGGGTAGCGAAACGTCGAGTTTGGAGCAAAAAGTACTTGAGATTGTGAGGAAAATGTCCCATATAAAAGCATTCAAAATGTATTGTATATAACAGTGTTTAGCTTTGCAGATGAAATGATAGTTCAATAAATTGATTAATATTACAGATTACGTGGATGTCATTTAAGCAAAGTGGCTAGTTTTACGTTTTAGGATCATTTGATTAGGGAGATCACTGCAGAGGAAAATTTAAACCGCATAAACTCCCTGTTAAGACAAGAGTAACGTAAACCACTATAGACTTCACTATACTTCATGGAGCATAAATTAAACTGAATTTGAGAACAACTTTGAATTATTTTGACATCAAGTTTCAAGTTGATTTGAAAAAAAATTACCTTAGCGTTTCATTCACCAACTACTTTAAAACAGTGTCTTAACGAACGAATGAAACAACAGATCTTGAAATGATGTTGGAGAGAGCTCTTACAAAATGACATAAAACCGCAACTTTATTTGAGTATAGTGAATAAATACAATATATTTTGAAAACTCGCCAACATTTAGTGTTCTTTTCATAGATTCTAACTAATTCTCTAATTTGATGTTAAAGATAAATAAGTAATTAAGTTTGTTATACAGTCGATCAAAAAAGCCAACAAATTTATCAAGTAGGAAGAATTTATTTGTTCATTGACTATAATTATAGTAGAAGAAAATAGATATATTAAAGGATTTTGAATTCCGTTGTCTGTGAACTTTCACATTAATTAAAATGTTTTAAAATGCTATCAAATAAAACGTGGTCTCATTTACATCAATTAGCATGATACATTCAGTTTTAAAACTAGGGTTCAAAGCAAAAACGTGTTAGCTTTCTGTACGTTAAAAATTTTACGCTTCACTAGAGGACTCCCAAAGTAAACGAAATATCTCATAGACTGTTAAATTCTTTTTCGCTGGAATTTTCAGATTGAGTTGTTCACTTTCCATGGATACACAAAATCTTTAAACATCTACCTAAACATTTCCTGAATTTCCATCTAACTTACATATTGAGGTAATGACCAGTAGTGCAACTAAAGATACGAGTTTCAGTACGGTTTTAACTTATCAGTAAAACGTATGTGTACAGCCGACAGTATTCAGTGTGTAATCCAAACTCTACTGCTAAGTGCCATCACGCATGCAAAAACGTTAAAACAGTGAAAATAGTCCCAATCAAGACACTATACAATAACCTATTTAGGGTGCGGATGAGATGTACCTTACAAGTTAAAACTCAGACAAAATTCAAATTACCTTGATATAAATTTCAGAGCGTTCTATAAGAAACTTGGCATTGTGTGGCGCCAATTTAATACACTGATCAATATGATGCATAGCTTTTGTCATATCTTTACTTTTCACAGCCATCTGTACACATTTGTGATGTTTTCTAATAGTTGTTGAAAAGTATTGTGCAGTTGTCAATTTGAATGAAGACAAATAGTTCTTTGATTCATTACGAATTGGAATTAAGCCATCATTGGAGAATGAATGTGAGGTTGCACTAATGGACTTCAATGTATTACTTCTTAAGCCTGAATTTTTAGTGAAGTTCAATTTAAGTAAAGAGCAGTATCAATACCTTCAACTATAATATTGTGCCCCAGCTGTTCGTTTGCTGGATATTGTGAACGATTTTTAACGTCAATACAAACAACCGTGTTCTCAGGTCTCCAGTCTGTTTTGTTCATTGTAATATAAATTCTATCATAAAATAAATTTCCCAGTTTAAAAACATATATAGTCACTTTAAAACGGTTAAGAAAATAATATATACATGTATAAATGGGAAATTAGGATGAAATACATTTAAAGATGATCAAATAAACAAATGTCATCAGTTAAGTCTACATAAATAAACATGTACTTAAAGTTTTGTATTTTATAATCAACACACATTAGCAGTTACCTGCCTAGATGAAAATCAACTCTATCTATGTAAATAAATCCGCTGTGTATCGTGAATTATACTATCCATGGTCTTATATATTATCCACAATTTAGACGTCATTTTTTTAGTTTTCCATAACTTTCACACTTTTTATTAGCCACAGTGAAGGCTTTTGCAAAAAACAATCAATCAACAGCTATTTATCTTTAGCTCTGTTCCTTTTTAAAGACAAAAATATGAGTGGATAGCAAGGTGACACAAAGGTAGTTTTATTTCTGTTACACCGGTTTCACATACCAATAAATGAATTAAAACTTATCTAAAGGAGGAACTTAACTAGAGTTTCAGATCGACCTTATAAGGGTAAAGTAGATCATCCGGAGATTTGTAGTTTAAAGCAACTGCCTACTAAAATGTCTAAACATTTCTGTTTGAAATATTAGAACAAATATTTTCACATATATACCTTTTAACTCACGTTGCATCATTTCAATATCTTTACACTTATAATTTTACTCAGAGATCATGAACCAAAGCAATTCTTTGATGATATTACACCCAAGTATACTGCTCTATAACTTAATAACACGTTCCAAATCCATGAGCAACAGAAGTTGGATATATATGTAAGTATGGTCCGTGCCATAAAACTAGTACTTTAGATTGTTTCATCATCTGTTCTCACTGATCCACCGAAATGAGTTGTAATCACAAGCCACACAACCAGCCACAGTATATGGTGTAAACGAAAGAGCGTAAAACTCGTGAAATTTCATCGCCTCAAATCAGTAAGAAACTGTGAAGGTTCAGTGACACAGTATTTGGACAAAGACGCAAGCTTTTTTTCTCCACGGTCAAAAACATGGTCGACAGTAAGCAATACAATCCGAAAAGATGTCTGCGGATATGTAAGAGCATTGGTGTATTTAGGGAAATTAGAAAATAATGATAGAAAACATTAAATGAACTTCACCTTTACGATTGAGTAGAAACTGACTTGAAGCTTCTGATACAAAGAGTTGCATTTGCTGTCTATGAATTTACCTAAATAAACAACCTGTCTTTGCGAAAGGTTACAGAAGTTATCAAATTTCGATTTGCCTACAGTTAAAGATCCCTATCAATTGATAACAAAAGTATTGATAGACTATCAGCTAAATTATCAACCAATGTTCTTGACGGAACTCTGGTGATGACTGATACTCATGAGCGATTCTTAACGTGTTGGATGACAATTTTATATCCGTTCCACCAGAAGTGCATCGCGATACTTTAATTAATTGATACGACATAATGAGATCAACACACGCGCGACCTCGGGTAATTTTAATCATAAATGAAATGGCAGCATTCAGTTAAAATCGAAGCCATTTAAAGAATGAAATGAGGCTTAATTCATCAAACACGGGATCTAGAATAGGTTCAAACCAGAACGTGAGGTCAAATGCATTCAATAAGTGTTAGAAGTGCAAAAATATGAGATCAGATAGTAAAAACGAAAACGAATGGATTTAGTGTGCGATTGAGCAAAAATTACAAAAACTAGAAAGAAACGGATTTTGTACGGCCCAGGATTTGGAATATCGGCTGAAAGTAACTTACGTTAGTTACTTCTTGTGAAATCGTTGATGATTGTGTGAGTCATTCAATTAGGTAATCAAACAACTTTTTGAAGGAATTGAAAACGTTTTTAGGTTCATTTATTAGCCTCATTATAATCAGTTAGTTCCTCAGCCTACAGAATGAACAGGTGCTTAGCATTTTCCGAACGAGTAATGCAATGGTTGTTTGATATTATAGGAACTACTTCGAAGTGACCAATAAATCATCAATAGAGAGATGAAAATAAGCAGATCCAACTTAACAGTTAGACCTGCTTACGATTAGGTCTTGCATAAGGATACGCTGTGTGTTTGAAGTAAGAAGACGATAATGTGAAAATCGCGTGTTCGAACACCAGAGCAAGTGAACCAACAGCTCGAAGTGAACATAAAATGTACCTTAATTAATACAAGAAGTCAACAACACTGGACAATGAGATAGTGTGGGAATTTAGGCAGTCTGGTAAACAGAACTGGATTTTTGTGGTGAGTGACTTCTACGGCGTTACTCGTTATGTTATCCTGAATTCGAAATACCGCTCAAAAGTTTCTATGACTCTGTTGTGTATTCGAAAGGCAACATATCCATGAAAGACAAGTATAACTAAACCTAGTCTGGTTATAAGGAGGATCAAGACTTCTATTAAATGATATTTTGACTGTTTAAATGCGTTTTAATTGGGACTAGTTATTAATCGGACCAACGGTACAATTAAACAGTCATCATGTCATCATTGTTTAAGGAGATGGCAGAAACGACACACATTTCATCACCATTGAAAGCATAGATGATTTACTCAGTCTTCTAAGTGACATGGATTGCCAGAATTATGAAAGCTCCAAAAGCAGTAGTTAAGCACAGACAATGATGTCCTATTTAAGGCAAATATTTATTGTTATTGTCATGCTGGCAACTTCTTATCCGAGGGAAAATGACCAGGAGATCACTACCAACATTCTCTATGTTTAGAAAATGAAAGCGATCGACGGAAGCACTACTAAATTGTAAAAATCCATCAACACTCTGAAAAGTAGGTCACAGCTTCACCCAAATACTTAGATTGTTGAAGGTTAACATGTCCTTTACTTTAATGATGACCTATACTGCACATTCTTGTCTTGAATTAACTTTGTTTTGCCCACTTAATGCGCTCAAATCATGCTTCGTCTCAAGTTGTGTTTCTGATTCGTGTAACGGTTTGCTGAACAATTTGTTTTTGTCATCTGCTTATATTATTATTATTATTATTATTATTATTATTATTATTATTAATGGCTTTATTCAATATTATAATCTAGTACAATATAGAATTCTCAGCATGAGTTATCAGAAGTATATCATTGTTGTTTCGCAATGGATGTTGGTGGACCTTTTATCATTCAGTGTATGCAGCCTAATTGTTTCTTTGTTCTGATCCAAGAGTGCACTGTGATGAATGCTGAAAGTGATTTCTAAAAATACTCACCAGTCTAACAAACAAGGTAGAAAAAAGATCGTATAACGTTGATTATCATTGGTTCCGTATACTGTTTTTGAGGAAGATAATGGCCGGTACAGAAGATTGTATATCTTTCGTATGGCTGAAAACTTTCACGGAAGGAATACTGGAGATTCTGGTGATGACAGTAAAAAGTATGCTTGTGCGGCGAACACGTACATAAGAACATATGGCATTTTGTTGACTGGGAACCTTATATATGTATATAGATTATGGTAAGTTCTCAACTGCAATCTTGTCTTCTTTCTGACCATGATGTATCAGTCTTGTCTAGCTATAAAAATGGGCTTTTCATTCACCTTCACTGGAAACTTCATATCATAAATCATTGATTGGGTGACAGTTTTATTAAGTTCTTCAGACAATATGGATTTTCAGTCCACTTTATGTAAAGCATCCTCCATACTGAACAATTTCGTCTTCAATGTGCTTCTTTACAGATTTATAGTGTGACTGAGATGGGACTAATGTAAATTAAAGTGATCAGTCCTCCTCTTCGTTCGATGTTAAGCTTATTGAATGGGTATTTATTAAGTGACATAGTGAGCAAGGAGGATACAGGAAACAGTTACCTAAACACAAACATTTCGTTATCATATCTATGAAAATAGTGAATGTAGTGCCTTCAGGAAATACTAGAGGTAATAAGTATGCTAATTATAGTAACCTAATTTTATTGACAGATTGTCAGTTAATTCTCAACAGTTCAGCTTTGGCTGCTACAAGCCCCACATAACTGTGCCGGAATAATCTGTACAACAGCATATTCATGAACTAATGAACTTCGTTGGTATGATGGTGAGCATATTTTTCGTTCATATGTTGTACCACACCTCGTTAATGATAACCACGTGGCTTTATCGCTCGGGTTCGAAGACGACGTTATGAAACAAGCCGGGTTCAACCTCAACTGAACATTCTGAGCACACTTATTCGTCACTAGCAAGATGCATAAATTTGGGCTCAACCCAAGCAAACCCACTAACTCTAGTATTTCCTGAAGGTACTACATTCACTATTTTCATAGATATGATAACGAAATGTTTGTGTTTAGGTAACTGTTTCCTGTATCCTCCTTGCTCACTATGTCACTTAATAAATACCCATTCAATAAGCTTAACATCGAACGAAGAGGAGGACTGATCACTTTAATTTACATTAGTCCCATCTCAGTCACACTATAAATCTGTAAAGAAGCACATTGAAGACGAAATTGTTCAGTATGGAGGATGCTTTACATAAAGTGGACTGAAAATCCATATTGTCTGAAGAACTTAATAAAACTGTCACCCAATCAATGATTTATGATATGAAGTTTCCAGTGAAGGTGAATGAAAAGCCCATTTTTATAGCTAGACAAGACTGATACTTCATGGTCAGAAAGAAGACAAGATTGCAGTTGAGAACTTATTATAAACCACAAACGTATATTAAACAGGTGCCGAAGTACGTTTAATTTAATGCTACCTACTGTTACCCTCAAGGAGCCTGTGGTGGACCAAAATGTTTGATAACCAAAAATTTTAGCAACAAAAATATTATGTCTATAGTTTATGTAACAATTAACAGTTAATAAGTAATTACACACAAAAATAACAAAATAAGGGACGTTACTTAAGTCTTCAGGCTATTGCGTGTTCGGCTGGGTTTGGTCCAGATACTCCACAATTATAACAAAATTAATAATCCCAATATGGACGATATAGATCCAGTAGTTTCACCAAGCGTAGAATTCAATAAGAATGTCGCAATTGTCTATAAACGTAGATGGTATGCAATTAATATTTCATTCAACATATTAGCAGACAGGGCAGAACGATGCAGACGTGAATTAGAGTGTATTTGTTGAGGAGAATTAACAGTGGCACGGTATGTTGTACTCAAAACGGAAGGAAGGAGTGTTACAAGCGTTCAAAGTAATACAGTTAAACAACAAGTACAATTGTTTAATGCTTAATGTACAGAATATGAAAATACATGCGAAAACTATGAAAAATTATTTACAAAATAGGTTTTAAGGTTCTATCTCCACAAGCCTGTCTTTGGACACAAGGATTCTAGTTGAAGGAGCAAGGGCAAAATAAACAGTGCATTTAGTCCCGTAGTGCCCATTTTTACTCTAATGATGGAGATCAGCAATAGTGATAATCTCTGTCAATTGGTTGGAAACTTACTCGAGTTAGACGGAGATGATGTGACCAACAGCTAAGGTAGAAGTCACACCTCGCAGTCATCACCTAACATGATATACCCGTTCAACATACCAAGGTACTATGGCTGCTTTGAAGACTGTACAACACAAAGGACGTTATTACAGAAACATATTGGTTAAAGTAGGTACAAGAGAAAGTGAGACCACCACAGCATGAGCTAATCTGTGGAGCACGATTAACTGATGTGCGTTGGTTTTCTTCGACCTAAACGGGGATCGACGATCTGTTCGACATTCGGTGACTATGATAATTAGAAGTATTTGAATTGTAGTATGAACTAGTAATCCCAGGAATAACGCAATTTAATCAAGAAGTACAAGATGAGCACAAACGAATGTATTGTATTTGGAATTCAAAATTACAACAGTCATCAATACTAAGAAGTCATTGATTTATTTAAACATCACATCCGCCACAGCTCGAATTGGAGTGTAAGTGTCTGTAATCGATTGTTCGTCTTCTTCTTAAGTTCATCCTACATCTGTCCGATGGTGTATTGGATGTAGACTCTGTATTATCTAGAATGCACTCGTAAGTATTAGAATTAACAACCGAAATTGGAACAGACTCACCTGGGTTCTAGAATTGTATACAATCAGCATGTCGGTTGTGTAGTGAAACCAGTGATATTTAGAATTTGCATCATGGACTTTCCAACAAAATCCTCCCTCACGAAATAATGTTGGGTCCTTGCGTCGCAATGTTTTAGCCAATATGACGTTCCCAATTTGCATTATCTCAAATCTCACGCATCGACTACTGTATGTGAGTATTTGGGGATAAACACTGATACATAATTCGAGGTATTCCATCATGTGACTTTGACTTGAATAAAAATCATGATACATATTCTTTTCGTTATTCATATTAGAATACACAGATGGATATGCATTGATATATGTAATTAACACGTGTGATTTAACTAGGCTTGATTTACCTGCGAAACAATCGAATAGAAAACATTCATCTGCCTCATATTCATTAGGATAATCTTGGACTTGATTTGGATTCTCTGTCTGTGCATTCAACATGCATTGTTCGTGAGAGTATCCAACATATGACACAATAACATCAGAAATATGACTACAATTCAACTCATAAGAAACATATTTTTCACATTCATGAGGAATATCATTGGAGATAAATTGATTGTGAGGACCACTGACACTTGATATGATATCATAATTCGATTCTTCTGAAATATTTTCCTCATATTGATTAAGAGTTTCATTAGAGAATAATGGATCATCAGGGAATTCAGCATCTACCAAAACTGAATTTGGTTTTTGATCATGATTTGACTCATTTAACATTCTATTCTCAGAGTTGTAAGAAATTCCATCAGAAGTATGTGACTTATTACGACAAACCATATCTGGTACAATGACATGAGAAATCTGATAAGTTGATTGGTTGAGAATTTTCGCCTCCCAATGACTCTGGGTTTCATTCAACTCTGGACTGTTATATAACGTTATACCTCTTCTAGAGAAAGATAACTGATCATTAGAAGCATCCATCTTAGCATTACTTTCAGCGAAATGAACCATGGTATTACAAACTGACTATGTCCAGTTATACCACATTTAAAGCATTTAGAATTACGAAATATACATGAATTACATGGGTGAAACTTGCCACAGAACAAGCATTTACTAATCTCGTGCTCACCTCCATGGACTGTTTCACAACTCAATGAAGTATTATCTGAATAAATTTGATTACGCATCGAACTACGACGACTGTTTGAATAAGTGGAATTCCTGATGTTCTGACGAGTCATTTTATCGGATTTTCCTTTCTTACCGCATTCGGAATTTGTATACTTTACATGATCCAACAGTAGTTGCTTGAGAGTTTCATAAGGGAGTGAAATCGGTGTGTCTGGAAGTGCCAAAATCTTTATAAGGCTGTATGCTTCTTTTCCGATGAATGTAAGGAAATGGGCCACAATATTAAAATCCTCATCATCTTCCTTGGTCATAGCCCAGATTTCGAACCTTTCCATGTACTCATCAAAAGCATTAAAATCTGAATTTATATCCAACCGTTCCATCACAGGCTCAGTCGCGACGCCAATATGACAATCAGAAGTATTTGAATTGTAGTATAAACTAGTAATCCCAGGAATAACGCAATTTAATCAAGAAGTATCAGATGAACTCGAACGAATGTATTGTATTTGGAATTCAAAATTACAACAGTCATCAATACAAACAAGTCATTGATTTATTTAATCATCACAGTGACCTAACTGTCGGGTGATTTGGCTGGGGATCAGTGACATTTTACTGGCCCTACAGTGATAGTCGAATGTGAACATACGAGCTGTCACCCCAAGAGAACAAAATAAGGCCACTTAACTCACAAAATGTTGAAAGAGACTCGAGAACTTATTCGTTCCCACTGGCTTTTCACATTCCAACATCCATTGTATTATTAGAAATGCATATAAAGTGTTAATAATTAAATCTAGGCTATCCCAAAAGAATCAACTGGTCTAGGTGTACTAAAGTACATACGGAAGCTTTTACTCTGTATCAAGAGTGATGAATTACAGCTGATCACACTTTATCAAATTTTGTAGTGACGATGGAACAAGCCTTGGCCTTCATCACAGACCATTCTTGAAACTGAACTTACTTCGGTGGATTCTTGATGTCCATTGAATACAGACGAAAAAAACCAGGGAAGGTCATGAAGACTGAATGGCTCAGCCATGCCGGTGTAATGACAGCTTATATTAAATATGTTATCATTAATAGACTGGTATTTTTTCTAGAAATTTTTTTAAAAGTTATACAGCCGGCTATCACGATATGACGGGTTATTCTATTTGATCACGTCGTTTCGTCATAAGATCTTGTGAATTAGCAAGTCACATCTAACCAAGTCAACGAACTTCAAAGTTTAACACTTAACACTTAAAGAAGATTTAAACTAGTAAATGCAGAAGCACATGGCCGGTATGCCATTGTCCGGCCATACAGGCGTGGTCACCTGTGAGTTATACTACTTGAATGTGAATTATACCATTATATCCTAAGCCCTGATGTGTTCTTCAGCTGCAACTCTCACTGTCACATAGGATGAGTCAGTATCGAAGATGATGTGGCTTCCACATAAAATCTGATAGATTAGGTAGTCATATGATAGTTACAATACAGTTTTGATACCTGGTGTATTATTTTAGTAGAATAGATAAGTATGATGATACCTACCTACACCATAAGTTTACACAACAATACCGATATTATACCTAAATCTGCAGTTCAAGTTGTGATGACTTTTGAACAAACTAACAAAGTGAAATCTTAGTGAAAAATTACACTAAGGTGTTTTAGCTAACGATGGTGAGAGATCCAATTTTATTTCTAATTTTGGCGTACTTTTGACGAATTCCCTCTTTAACATGGAGAACATAATCTTACTCTAAACTCAAAATCTCATACCACAAAACTGAACAAAGTTGTTTTTCGTCGTTTCATATGAAGCCACGTGAATACCATTGCAGTACTACTGAAAATGCTGTTCGATGCCCTATGAGACAACAAAACTACGAGGGGATTAGGTGACCACATTGTTTGGCTCAGTCAATAAAAGTGAAGATAGACGTTTGTGGAATAGCTGCTCCTAATCAAAAGCAGAAGAGAGAAAAAGACGAGCCCAACAATTCGTGTTGTAAATGACCAACGTAGAGGATCGCTTTAGAATGATCGGAAGATTACTCGAGTTGAACGGGGATAATGTGACCAACATCTAACATCTAAGTCACACCTTACAGCCATCACCAAAAGTGATATAACCTTCGACGTATCAAGGTACTATGGCTGCTTTGAAGATTGTGTAACAGAATGAGCGTGAATACGTAGATATATTAGTATGAATAAGCACAGATATGTTGATGATCGCCGGAGAAGTTTAGCAAGGCATTCCTACCCGCGATCTGGTGTGGATGCACGACCGAACGCCTTTAACTGGATGAGTCCATTAAAACTAATGTGGTCAGCATTCGAACACTTAGAGAGCTATTGATTTTGAGCATTTATTTATCGCTAAAAGTTGTAGCTGGTTGATCCATCATCTTCTAGTTTCCATTCCGAGACTGTCTCATTCTGAGGTTTATGTTAATTTTGGTTACCGTCGATTACTTTCTTTATTAAAAATGTATTATGTAACCTTTCTGGGTCATCGGGCCGCCTATTTATTTTTTATCGCCTTTTCCAGATCTTCGCACAGGCGCTACTCTCCATGCTCTCACAATACATTTACCTCTTGTCTTGATTCAAACATCAACAATTATATGTTGATTGACCATCCTTACTTAACATGGAAAATCACGAGATGAATTGTTTTTCCACGCTACAAAAACATTACATGTGTCCTTGTGCTAAAACAACACAATGAATTTGTAATCTAGTGTTACTTGATTATGTTGTCCACTAGATATAAGGAGTGAGTCTTTTTATGTTAAGTATTTGGTACTTAAGTTACGGAGACACAAACATGGAATGGGATGTTGAGAAAGGGTTCAGTTTGTTAACGTATACCATTATTCAGACTAGAGACTAGTTTCTGTAGAAATCGAGTATACTTGATTTTAGACTAGTATGGCAGGGATAAGGTAATTTGCAGAGAGGATTTCCTTACTAAAGCAAAATAGATTGTTTTCAATATAAATTGATGAATTCAATTGTGGCCTTTATTTTTATGAATTAGACACTTATAAGTGTCAAACTTATAAGTAACAATTGTTGATATATCAACAGAAATATATTTACGTTTTTCTTTAATTTGAACACAAACCGTTGTTATTGATAACTCGAGGTTCCATGTATTTCCGGATGTGGTAGGTGAAGACAATTATGTTTCCTCTGTTTGTTCCAAACTACACAACTGTGAGGGATACTTCATTAGCTTTACGGAAACCAAAAAGGCTATTATCTGGAAATCAGGACTAACATAAAATAAGCATATGTGTTATCAAGCAATTACCGGTACTGATGTAAAACCGATTTCTAGCGAGTGATTGGATAGTCCAAAGTCACTGAAACTACAAACACAGAAACCTTCAAGATTTCATTGTTCATGTGTTTCTAATATTTTAATAATTTTCATGACACACGTCTTGTCATTTTATTTGCACCGCTTTTGCTTCAGATTTTCACAAGGCTTGTCGCGGCACATCACTATGATGTGTAGACTTGGCTTTATTCGACGTGCAACTCACTTCCTTATTTAGTTTTCGTTGTTTTTGAGATTGATTCGTTATGTATCACCACGGTTGGAATATTCTTCTACCAACTGGGCTGTTTTACTTCTGTGTAAGGCAACAATAAATTCATTGAAGTACTTCGTAGTTTGTCTTGCCATTACCAACCTAGATCTCAAACTATACATTCCAGTGAGTTAGAATATAGAATTAGGAACAAAATGTTTCCTATCACTCTTTATCCACTTCTGTCATACTTCTTGTACTTCGATGAATCGGCTTGCAAATATTTTATTGGATCAATGTTTATGTATCTCTTTCCTATATGTATTGTAGTTCTTGTTCTCTTTTTTTCCCTTTTATTTTTCACCCTTTTGCCTTTACGAACTAAATCCATAGACAAAAGCTTGTGTGTTCCGCTAATCTGTTTCATTGGTCGTTTCGTATTCGAAATACACCATTACTGATATACTTTTCTTCTCGTCACATTTTTAAGGGTTCGGGCTCTATGCAAACAGTCTGTTCACTTTATAAATGTTTACACAGTGATCTATTATGATAATCAGAAGTATTTGAATTGTAGTATAAACTAGTAATCCCAGGAATGACGCAATTTAATCAAGAAGTACAAGATGAGCACAAACGAATGTATTGTATTTGGAATTCAAAATTACAAGAGTCATCAATACAAACAAGTCATTGATTTATTTAAACATCACATCCGCCACAGTTCGAATTGGAGTGTAAGTGTCTGTAATCGATTGTTCGTCTTCTTCTTAAGTTCATCTTACATCTGTCCGACGGTGTATTGGATGTAGACTCTGTATTATCTAGAATGCACTCGTAAGTATTAGAATTAACAACCGAAATTGAAACAGACTCACCTTATTCCTGGAATAGTATACAATCAGCATGTCGGTTATGCAGTGAAACCATTGATTTTTAGAATTTGCATCATAGACTTTCCAACAATATCCTCCCTCACGAAATACTGTTGGGTCCTTGCGTCGCAATGTTTTAGCCAATATGACGTTCCCAATTTGCATTATCTCAAATCTCACGCATCGACTACTGTATGTGAGTATTTGGGGATAAACACTGATACATAATTCGAGGTATTCCATCATGTGACTTTGACTTGAATAAAAATCATGATACATATTCTTTTCGTTATTCATATTAGAATACACAGATGGATATGCATTGATATATGTAATTAACACGTGTGATTTAACTAGGCTTGATTTACCTGCGAAACAATCGAATAGAAAACATTCATCTGCCTCATATTCATTAGGATAATCTTGGACTTGATTTGGATTCTCTGTCTGTGCAAACTTCACTTCTGGGCAAGCTGGTTCTCTGGTTGATTCGGAAAATTTTGCTATCCCCTCTGATTCATTATACCCTTGACTAGGGATTATATTCAATATACATTGTTCGTGAGAGTATCCAATATCTGATACAATAACATCAGAAATATGACTACAATTCAACTCATAAGAAACATATTTTTCACATTCATGAGGAATATCATTGGAGATAAATTGATTGTGAGGACCACTGACACTTGATATGATATCATAATTCGATTCTTCTGAAATATTTTCCTCATATTGATTAAGAGTTTCATTAGAGAATAATGGATCATCAGGGAATTCAGCATCTACCAAAACTGAATTTGGTTTTCGATCACGATTTGACTCATTCAGCATTCTATTCTCAGAGTTGTAAGAAATTCCATCAGAAGTATGTGACTTATTACGACAAACCATATCTGGTACAATGACATGAGAAATTTGATAAGTTTGTTGACTAAAAATTTTTGTCGCACAATGATTCTGGGTTTCATTTAACTCTGAACTTTTATGTGACGTTATACCACTTCTAGAGAAAGATAACTGATCATTAGAAGCATCCATCTTAGCATTAGTTTCAGCGAAATGAACCATGGTATTACAAACTGACTATGTCCAGTTATACTACATTTAAAGCATTTAGAATTACGGAATATACATGAATTACATGGGTAAAACTTGCCACAGAACAAGCATTTACTAATCTCGTGCTCACCTCCATGGACTGTTTCAAAGCTCAGTGAAGTATTGTCTGAATAACTTTTATTACGCATCGACTTAATAAAGTAGTGGAATTCCTGATGTTCTGGCGAGTCATTTTATCGGATTTTTCTCTCTTACCGCATTCACAATTTGTATACTTTACATGATCCAACAGTAGTTGCTTGAGAGTTTCATAAGGGAGTGAAATCGGTGTGTCTGGAAGTGCCAAAATCTTTATAAGGCTGTATGCTTCTTTTCCGATGAATGTAAGGAAATGGGCCACAATATTAAAATCTTCACCATCTTCCTTGGTCATAGCCCAGATTTCGAACCTTTCCATGTACTCATCAAAAGCATTAAAATCTGAATTTATATCCAACCGTTCCATCACAGGCTCAGTCGCGACGCCAATATGACAATCAGAAGTATTTGAATTGTAGTATAAACTAGTAATCCCAGGAATAACGCAATTTAATCAAGAAGTATCAGATGAACTCGAACGAATGTATTGTATTTGGAATTCAAAATTACAACAGTCATCAATACAAACAAGTCATTGATTTATTTAAACATCACATCTATTCAACTTAATGTAGAAACGTTGATTAGATTGTATATTGTTTATGTGATGGAATACCAAGTAATCAATACTGTTGTACGTTAACTAAGTCGACTTGATTGTTTGCTAAACGTAAATAGCCACAAAATTTTGTGGTATTTAGAATTTAGCAGGGAAATAGTCAAACCTAAAGATGAATCAGGCCCCTGTGATCACAACCTGTGTTTGGTCATCTAGGAGCTACAAATTCGTAATTTGGGTTGATAGGGCTTCAGTGGTTGCAGGCTCAGACTTTCAAGCCGAAGTTATAAAATAACTATACTGGAACAAACATACTCACATATTTTCGCTCCTGTAGTCAGTACATTTTTCCTTTATGTCTATCCAGGTTTATCACTTACTTTCTTTGAGAAGTTAAGGAAACTTTACAGTATTGTGTGAACTGTAGATGTTTTTCTTCGTTTATAATTTATCACATAATGCTTGCATCAGAAATCTTATCTAAGCAAACGTGTTGCGAAAATAATCAGCTTTAGAAAGCTAAGCACTGGTCTCACAGAGCTTGGCCATTTGTTTGCCAACTTTGCCACTGCTTTGATCCATTTTGTGTCAATAACGTTAAACTATTTGACAATAAATATATTTTTGTTATCTCCGAACGAGTAGGAAAATTGTATTTCTGGCACTTCGTGACTCAGTGTAAGCCACTTTACTCTGAAGTAGTGACTTACATTAGGTCACGAAATGTCAGAAATACAATTTTTCTACTCATTTTGATACAAAAAGATAATATTTATTAATTACTTTCTATCCAATGCTCAATTTATCTGAAACTATCAAGTACAGCTTAAGAGTTGACCTTTTTAAAGTCTGTTTCTCATATAGCAAACTGTATTTCATGTCCTCAATCCGAAGTCTTGATTTCATTAAAACTGAATAAGAGTTATTTCATAATTTTTGATCTTTCATCATCATATTATTTAACAGCCACTGTACTTTAGCCGTTCATCTTTGTACCTGGATGTGGTCACGAATAGAAGTTTGAGTCTCAGAATGTGCCATAATCTGATAGCTGTTTTGTCGTCTAACAGACAAATAATTTTTGTCTCAAATATCAGCGCATTCAATTGAAATTTAGCACCAAGTGAATACCCATCAGCCAACTTTCATAAGATTATAAAGTATATTAAAGCTATTGTTTGTCTGGTAAACACATGGATTCTGCATAAAGTCGTCAGACAATCTTTTAGTGAAACTTATTTTCTCCAATATTTAGCTAGAAGCCCAAACACCAAGTAAAATGTTCTTTCGCTGATACGAGGTCTATAAGGCAGTTGAATTTTTGTATTTCAGAAAGTGAAAAATTAGCAAGGATGAATTTTATATTGTCAATTAAATATCATCTAATCAGTTATTCAAAACTTTCTTTAGGTCCTCTAAATCCTTTGGTCAATTTTCTGTGGATTCACATAGACCCAAAATAACCAAATCATGGAGTTTACGGGACAGTTTGTTTAGTTCGAGACGTGGTCGAGGGTCGATTTCGGATACTCATGAATGGCAGTATATCGCCCCAAAGCTGTATCAGTTGGAAGATCAGTTTCATCATCCAGCTTCAAAATGTGATGTTTGGCGTTCTCTTTGCCCTCAAGAATTACCCGATGCAGCTGTTTATCCTACAATGCCTGTTTACAATTTGTCCAATAAAGTCTTTGCCTCATCTACAGGTCCCAAAAAGGGTTTGTTAGCAGTGAAAAAGTGGTGTGGGTCAAAGGACAGTCACAATGTCTGTAAGTGTTTGTAGTCGTATCTTATAGTTACTTAAAACATTTATACAATACTAAAATGTTCTGACAGTATGATACATGCACCCTTAGATTTGATTTTACGAACGTTTGTAGGGAAACTAGTATCCGTTTTGTGTTTGCTACAGGATATCAAAAAGAATAAAGGATGAAAATTACTTTGGAGCAACACTTCAACTCAATACCCTGATTCAGTGATATCATTCAGAGTAAAAAAAATTGATAAAGGCTCTAGAAGAAAACTGGTTAGACCGAAAGTTGTAATCCGTTCACTTAAATAGTAAAACAGATATAGTACAATAAAGGAGAAACATTTCTAGTAATTTCACATTTTTCCTAGGTCTACCTTCAAATATCTGATTAACCAGTTTGCGACTAAGTTCATCAGGTTTTATCTTGCGAGCCATTTGAATAAGTAATATGTTTATCCGATAAGTTTTAGTATATAAATATATTGCTGTGATAAAAATCTAAAATGACAACTTAGTATTCGCATCGTGCTCTGACGCTATATGCAGTCACTTGGCAAAATAAAATCAAGGCGATATAATGTTTACGTGAATACTTTTGAATTTGTGTGTTACACAGAACGCTTCTTCAGCCAATCCTAAAACCCAAACAGATCTGAGTGTTTGAAAATACTGCCTCAAATAACGCTTAGAAAGCAGATGACTTTGCTATATATCCAGATTGTGACAAAGAGTTATTGCATGCGTTAATGTCATAAATTATGGGAAACATACAAATCTTAATAACTAACCATTTTTAATTAGGTTTGTTCAAAGAATTGTACATTAAGGAGATATGATCTTGACGTAGTAAAATATGCAGGTTGTAACAAGTTAAACTTAATCGCTTATCCAGTTTCATTTATCCCTTCGTCATATATAAAGTACTTCATCAACAGATTTCTTATTTGTGTCAGTTGTTGTTTCTTGTACTGAGGTTCAAACAACTACGGAGGGACTACTAGCATGAGATTGAATAAATGGTTATATGTAGATTAAGCAACTAATCCACAACGATACTGCGATGATGATATAATTACAGGCAAAATTGAAGAGAGAGAAGACTGGACCACACAGGAAAACCTTTATATTTCATGATGAAATACTTGAAACTAGTAAACATAATTGTGTACAGTATATAACTTCGAAAAAACAATTGGGAAGATAGATCAGGAATTTCGAGCGTGACACTTGGTATAAAGGAATTTGAAATCAGCTTCACTGGAACATTACAATAAAGTATATTCATATAAATTAGTTCCAGCTTGTGTGTAACTTAGACGGCTGATTTTAACGAGTACGTAAATTATCAATCCTTTTGATATTGTAAAGAACAGTTTTATAATTAAATGTAGATACATTTGAAGCGATTTCTGGCAGTTAAAGATTTTTAACATCAGTCTACTACACCAACTTATATTTATTTCTTGTATGTTACTTAAGGACTAAAGGATCATTGTAGTGCTATATGTATATCATTTTTGACTTTCTACAGATCATTCCAACTACTGGAAGACAATAGAGAATCGAAAAGCACATGGAATATCTGTTTCTCTATACGAAAAAAACATAATTACTGGAAAACCGAATGGTACGTAAAATATTTTTGACTAAGGCATCGTAAAGATACTTATTTTTTTGGGAACTTAAATGAATTATGAAATTCATAAATTATTTCTGAGCAATAAATTTATGCTTTATCATTACTACTGTGCAAATTAATTGCCTTATCAACTAGGGAATTCCAATCAATAGTAAAAGTTCACACCAGGAATAAATCAACCGAGTATGATACCAGCTAAGAGCGAAACTTCTGTTTATATTAAAAAGCTTCATTTAATTATTATGAGTACTGTTATTACTAACTCCATAATCGTATGAGAAGACCATCATTCCTAGATGAAAACATGATGTCTGTAGCAGGTCTCATCTAGCTAGGAGATATTTTGTGTACTAAGGGAGCATGGAGAGTAGCTCCAGTGGGGAGATCTGGCAAAGGGGATAAAAAAAGATATAGGCGACCTTATGACCCAGGAAAGTGACAATACATTTTTAATAAGGAAAGTGATCGACAAAAACCAAAAATAATATAAACCTCAGAATGGGACAGTCTTGGAATAGAAACTAGAAGCAGATAGCGGGAAGATTTTAAATCTCCATATGTCTCACCGTTAATTCTTAAATATTGTCTTTATAGAAAGTAATTGAAATGTTTATTATTCCTATGCTCAGTTTAATATTTCATTAAGACGATTAAAATAAAATGAAGACATTTCATACCCACAATGTCACTGAATCATAATTATTATAGTTTTTCTATTTTTTATTGAGTACTGGAAAGGGATACCTATTATTGGTGTATCTCAAAAACTTTCTCAAGTGTTTACTATTATTAATACTAAGGTCAGATTGTCTTAAAACACACAACGAGGGTTTACTTATCAGTTTGTTAGTTAACTATAAATAAACACTTCAGGTCAACTAGGTTTTCCGTTATACATTATGTGTGTGTATTAAAAATGATCATTTTTCTTAACTTATTTACTTTACTATTTGTGAGTTTTTTGATAATAATTAATCGATACTTTTTGACCATAATTTGTATTTGATTGACTGATTATCCAGCCATATTTGAATAGGGATCCAGGAGACTTGTTTAATATGAACTCTGAAATGCATCTACATCCAACTGATGAGTCCCACAAAAGACCAAACACGCGTCATGGATTTCACTGCTAGCCGCTAACCATCTATGCTTTTAAAACTTACATCTGCTATTCTTCATGCATTAAAATCAGCCATGTTTAGCCTTTTCCTTCCGAATACCTATTTAAATTATTCTCAACAACCTGCCGAACAAATGTCATCAGAGAATGTCATACTTCTAAGTAGCTTCAGTTCAACATAAAATAAAATTTAGGAAGGAGTGTCTCATTTATATTGAAAAGTTGAATTTTATCCAAGTCAGTATCTGAGTAACTTAAAATGTCTATATTTGTCTGTAAAGACTTTTGTTTCATTTATGTCGAATATAAGCGGGCTTATTTGATTAACTACATACGATCCAGTGGTTCATGAAATGGTAATGGGTAGCTAGCTTTTAAAGTCGAGGAACGCAATCATTTTTAATACGCTAGACTAATTCTTCTCTATTTTTCTGTATTTTCACATTATTAAACAAACACTAACGTCTTGTATGAAGTTTGATTTTTGTTTAGTTGTCTACCTAGATTACGATTTATTTAAATTCATAAAACGCTGTTTTATGAGTTGTAGAGTTTATTTAAAAACAGTGCTTCGTTACTAATAGATTTTTGAGAAGAGTATTTTAAAAATTACCAAAATAATCTTAGTATATGTTTATTTAAATGAATTGCTTCATTGTATCAGTGAATTTACCAATCATTATTGAAAATAGAAATGGAGTAATCAGTTATGGTTTTAAAAAAATCAATAACAGTAACATCAGCCAATAAACTAGCTGTCATTTTTATATTATCATTTAAGCATTTAATTGTTTAAAGTTGTAGTTTAAACAGTATTGTTAGCCTGATAATGATTTAAATAAAAAGCTGATGCTGGGAAGCAAATTATAGTTATTTCATCCTAGTCTAGGAACTTCAAACTTTAGCATATATGGTGGGGAATAATTGGAAGCAAAGTTATTCTGAAATGCTATTTCGTTCCAGTTTGTTATTTGTCAGCAGTATACACCTTTGTCTTCAGATAAGATCAAACCAAGAACCTGTAGATTTCACTATAGGTATGATACCTTTAAGTTAAGACCTAGAAATTCCAAGATTCACGATATGTTTTTATTCAGTATTTAATGTGAAATCATTATCCACTACTTGTTTTTAATGAGTATCTGTTTCACTTACAAGTGAATTAGCTCCACAAATCATGATTTCTCATTGGAATTCTTTAGAGGTAGGTCAGTTTCGTCTTATGTAGTGTGAAAATTTAACCGCTTAGTTACACTCCGTAAAAAAAACAAGCATACATAGATCTTGTTTTGTTCTAAACTATTCTTTTAACCATATTCATCACATCTTAAACGACTACGTAGTAGCAAAGAAAAGTTGTCCGCATCAGTTTGCTTAAATTTCACACTATTTCAGTTTCCCACAAAATTATATTTTGATTATCGTAACACCTGCTTAGTTTTATTAATTTATAAAAACTACATCTTGAAATGAGCAGTAGTGATACAAAATAATTTAATAAAAAATCGTATCTAAGTGAAAATTCTATCATATTTAAAAAAGATAAATAAAAGACGTTGGCATTATTTTTAAATTTGATTTTGAATTTAAAAATTAAACAACTGGTTACTTCATATAATACCTACTGAAATACAACTCAGTAGCATTAAATGTTCATTGATGAATTGAATTTTTCATCAAGCTACTAAATGGTTAAATAAAGTCTGATATATATTTTAAGCAATTTGACGGTTGAATTCATTAGTCGATTTAGGCTAGACCACCATTGAAAACCTGAAATCACTGAATGGCCGTTTCGTCCTAGTGTGGGACTCCTCAGAAGTGCGCATTCACAATCCCGCACGCAGGACTCGAACCCAAGAGCTTCAGTCTCATGCGCGGTTGAACTCCACTGGTCACGGCTTCTCACTAAAACTTCAGGAAATACCTCTTGAAGCCAGTCACTAGTGAGTATGTGGAGATTGTCAGAATTGAAGGTTGTGTGAATTCAACCATTAAATTACTACAATCTCCACAACCCACCTCCACTCTGATAATAATTTTCAAGCCTAGAAGGCTAAATATTTCTGATCGATTAAGAAAAATTGTTTACACCATGACTATTAATTTGTCGAACTAATGGTAAATGAAATATTTCAAAGTTGAAATCATGAGTCAATTGAAGCTAGACTACCATTGAAAACCTGGAAGCACTGGACGGCCGTTTCATCATATCATGAGACTCCTCAGCAGTGCGCACCCACGATCCCGCACTCGCGAGATTCGAACCCAGGACCCACCAGTTACGAACCAGAGCCCTTAACCGATAGACCACTGAGCCGGCATCCAACGGTGTTCACTTCCATCTCACTCCCCACAGTAGTTAAACTTGTCAAACTTCAAAATTATTTGTCAATAAATGTGTTTTATGTTTCATTTAATTTCTAGGTGGTCCCATTGCTGATGCTTTCGTTGTACGAGCTCGACATGATTCTGCTTATTTAGCTGTGGCCGATGGTGTAAATTGGGGCAACGAATCAATGAAAGCTGCTAGGTCGGCAATTTCAGCTATTTACACCTATTTAGAATCTCATTTATTTGGTCACATGAAAGAGAAACACATCATTAAAGATACAAGAGTAAGGATTTGTGTTATTTAAAATTAATGTGTATAATAGTTTCTGTATTATGAGTATAGAAATATTCACTGAGATTCATTGCTTACACGTTTAAGTGGATATGAATCTTTTAAAGATATTGACATATGCTGTCTCAAGTTAAAACATAAACGCGATCTTTAGTCGATAATATACGCCTTGAGAAATCCGGTTAACGAAAGAAATGTAACTAAATAAAATACATTTCACGGAAAGCCAAAAGATCACTTTTTTATTTCAGAAACTTTGTTCAGTAATGCTGGGAGACAGTTTACAATTTGAACATCTGAAGAGATTTTTATGTGCTATCCTATTTAAGCGATGACAGGTCATATTCAGTATTAGTCGTGATAAAAGATAAGTTGAAAATAAAGCACAAAACATAACGTTTTAATTTCCTGTTACTAAAACAAAATATAGATACTTCGCAACGTAGATTTCATGCTTCTTTTAAAGCCGACTATCACAGTGTTTCTGTAGCCGATGGAAAATTCAAGGTCGTATGGAAGTAACACTTTTAACTGAAAGTGACTTAACAATGGATTGGTATATGCTTTGAGTTGCCTTTCTTTAAGAGTAGATAGTGTCTACAGATTGATTATTAATTTCATGACAAGAACTTGTAAATTCCACAACAAGACGTAAAGGGGTTTTAGTTGTCGAGTGATAATACAGTGAAAGTTTTTGGTTAATTTTTTAATTTTCAAGGAGATAAAACACATTTTTTTTAACAAACCGGTTAGATACTTATTTTATTCACAAATTACAGAGGCATAGGTAAACTGGTTGAATTCTCAATAGAATTCACGTCTGATGTGAACGATGTTGTGTTCGAGCATCGATGTGAACATCAACACTAAAGTGCAAGTTTATCAAGCTGCCTAGTCTTAACTAAGACGAAACAGGCTCATTGGATTTCAATACTAGCCAAAATCCATATTTTATATGAAATATATCATTAAATAGTTCTATCGTAGAAATACACACAGGATCCACGTATGCCGACAAAGACTGATTAGGATTTAGATCTTGACAACAAGGGAATTGTTCAAATCCTTATAATAGTATTCAGTTCACTTTCACTATTGATTTGTTCACTTTTCTTATTGTGATTGCATTACAGGATGCTGCTCAATTATTATTTGAAGCGTTTTCGTTTGCCCAAGACGAAATTGTTTCCGTCACCACTGGTCTTACTACTCTTTGCGTTGCACTAATTTTACCGGTACTAACAACTACAACCCATGAATCACATAGATTAACAAATGAACAAGCTTCAGCATATGGCAAATCTCAATTTTCTGTTGTAATAGCAAGCGTTGGTGATTGTCAAGCATTTCTTTTAAGTAAGTTTCATGGTATCCGTGAAATAACCGGTTGGGTAAGAACATCTATATTGTCATCTGATAATTTATCAACACAATCAAATGAACAAAGTAAATTGGAGAAAGTACTTGGACCACCTGTACGGGATTTTCGAGATACTGGTGGGGCATTGGGTGCTGTGTATAAAAATGGCAATCCAGAATTACACAATCTTATATGTGCTGGTAAGTACCCATTAGTTATGTTTTTGTAATATTTGAATATCAAAACCTTATAAATTGTGTTAAAAGCCCCATATTATAATAATAAACCTACAGACGTAAACGGTATAGGATTAGCTACATCTGTGTATCAGTTTAATTTATCAAGTTTCATATTGTGTCACAGTTGAAAACAACAACAGACGGACGAAATCTAATTATGAAAAGGACAGAATGATGCTGTCCCCAAGAAGTTAAGCTAGATGCAAGATGAATACATCTGCATAACTGCAACAAATTTCAATCAATAAGATAATTGACATGACATACGAGATACATATTTTGATCAATTGGTTTGATAAAATTTTGCAAACTCATCAACTGATTTAGCGGACTGTTATACTGCTCGTAACCTGGATAAATAAATATGTTTATATTTGGCAAGTCTAGAATGTCTTATTTAATTTCAATTAAGTTCCATCAATTTCATTATCCATTGTTTGTTTAGTTTTTTTGCGCGATAACTTCCACTTTAAGTTTTCACCTGAATAAGTACATATGAAACAACAAACCGATAAATACCTTCACCAAAATTTAAAACATTAAGTAAACTGATAGCGAAATGGTATTGCTTATCGACAGTATTCCAAGTTTAATGTAAGAAAAAAACAGTTCTCTTCAAGTTCCTAGCTGGTTAACTTGTGGAATATTTCATGCATTTCAGAATTCTTCAGAAAAATTAACAAATTTATAAATTTTGGGTCTACTCGCTGATGAAACATCACAGTCAAGTCATTAGATAATAACTTAAATCCGACTAAAAGGCTTGATATTAATGTCTTTATTTATGTATTTGTTATTAGCGCTAAAATAAACTTATAATAATAAGCAGTCTAAAGACAAGACAACATAACATTCCTTCAGTCGTAGGTGGATCATACAGCTTATTTAGGCAACTGATTTTTAACGGTTGACACTGACCATCACGAAAATCCAAAGATTACTCGTCTTCATTTTGAATAAATACAGAGGATGTTTCCGTACTAACGAAGATTAGATCCTTACTTTGGTTTCAATTCAAACTACATCTGTTCATTAGAATCTTATCTAGGATTTTGAATCGTCCAACTTTTCGCTTCAAGTCTACTTCATTATCTTTTTCTTAAATATTATCATATTCAATGGTTTTTTTAATTTCAAAGTCGTTTAAAAGTTGAACAATCATCCAATAAAACTAAATAAAGCAATAAATGCTGTACATAGTTTTCCTTTATGATTAATTAAGTGTAAGTACGTCATTTTATTATTCATCATCAGTATAAATTAGATAGACTGAAATATCAATGAGAAGTCTCAAACTTACATTTTTATTGTATTCTGCGTAACTTATGATTGCTTATTAAAATTAATTTTTAAATGAAGTACTTAACTTAAGTATAGACTATTTATGGTGAAAAATTTTATTCTGTCTTGTGTTAGTTGGTGTAAAAAGCAGTAATTGGGAAATGAACATTCTATTACTCATTTGTTTTCTTGTTCATTGATCCGTGTGTGATCGATTACTCTATCTCTCAGGAATAAAATAGTCTTTCAAAATTCTAAGGGAGAGTGACTCCCGGGCTTGAAATGACTCCTCTGTATGTGTGCGTTTGGATCTTTCAACAAAAGTGAAATGGCAGAGATAGCAATTTGGTTGATATGATTTTTAATATTTATTATTCGAAGTAGTTAGGACATATGTTTCCTATGTCCACTCATCTCTTATCTTGACGTTTAATGGTGATTATCACTAGAGTAGGTTGGAGAAGACTTAGAGTGGAAAAACTAAGATATGAAGTCAGTTCATATAGTCATCAACTGTTAAACTGAATCGTATGTGTAGGAATGGAATAGTTGATTGAGATTCTTCTACAATTACAACCCAAGTTTAGAGGCATTGAGTGGCAGACGTATTCATTCCTTATCTTTCTCGAATTCTTGAGTTATATTGTTGTCCCACATGTATTATTTTTTTTAATTTCATTAGTTCCTTCTGGACTAAAGTCATCGTAACTGGTATTTCACTATCATATGTACTCCTATTAATTAACTTCTGATCTAAAGTTTGGTAACTTTGGTCGAATATATATTAGTTCCAGATCCTCGATTAGATATAATGGACTAATTCATGATTTTAGTACATGATATTGACAGATAGGATTATTTTGATCGCAACCAAAGAATCCCTTTCTAAAATTCACTTTATCTCTCTACAGCTGACGCGATGAAGATTATTAAAATATAAATTCTTGTCTGTATCGTATAATCCAATAAATAAGTCTTCATACTAAAACTGGCCTACATCTCACTTATTAACTAAAGAATTCATAATTGCAAATATGTGTAAAGAACACAACATTTTCTAAATCATATCACAATTAACTTTATGTGGGAAAGTGAAGATAATTTCGCAAATGAATTTAGGCATTCCTTTTACGAATTAGTATATATAGAAGTATTTTTCGAATAATGTCGTAGACTGTTATAACGTGTGAGTGCGTGCCCTGTTTATATATATGTACGTGCTGATTCCAGCCAATTAGAGAGGAGTGAATTATCGATCAGAGCAATGATACACAAAAGCGTTATGAGCAGTCTTGAGTACTTATCAATCCTGCTTTCTGCCTAGCCCAGCCAGTTAAGTCCAGAACACCAATAACAGCCTCTGCAATATGAATCATTATTCTCAAACATACTAGGTTTATATACCAAGCAAACTGACCACAGCGTACCATAAAATAGAAAATAACATTTATACAATAATTGGCCAAATGTGGCTGTGAATAGGGGGAACATTAATTAATAGACTGGGGATAATACAAGAATAGTAATTTGTATAGTAATAGTTCATAGGTTAAAATAAAGCTTATAATAAAAGGAACATGAATATGAATAGTTAAGTTACTTAGCAATTTTACAATAGGAAATATACATATCATATTGGTCTATGAATAGTCCCCAAAAGTTACCATTCACAATTCTCTTCGGGATACAACATAGACTTATCAATGAAGATGTTAGTTCGATTGTAGACCACCTGACGTGGCTTGAAACGATTCAATACGATGCCAATTCGATCATTATCACATTTGAGACTATACTCTGTCATAGCACTTCTTTGTATTAGTATTGTTCTCTAATTATGATTGCTGTGACTACTTGCCATCGGTGTAGCTACTAGCTCTATTATATATATATATATTTTTTAATAGTTTCTGTTTTGATCATAGATTGTTCATTTCAGCTTAGAAGAATTTACTAAAGAATAATAAGATCATTGTAATAAAATCAGACAAAAATCTAGCTGTCCTTATAATGAGTCGCAAAGGTTATGTATATAAAATAATCGAAGTTCTAATTTAAGTATTGAGATTCGAAACTATGATAATCTGAGTTTATAAACAACTCAAGGAATTTAAACAGGGAAAATTCCATAATATTTCAACCTACAACGATCACAAAGCTAAAGTGTTGCGTCCAACTTTGATGTAGAGTTTTTCAAAAGTTTTCCAGGAATCACAAACTGTTAAGAAAAATCCTGTCTTCATGTGACTTACATTCAAAGGAGGAGAGGCCTCATTTAGAATTGATAAAAGAATTGCAGCGACTTAGAAGCTTCTCTGAACCTCTGCTATCTGCAGTCCATGCTGTTTAATTGAATAAAAATTGAATCAGTACCCTTCTGTGATGATCTCCATTAACAACTCTGAACATCAACGCATTTGTATAACTATGCACATAGAAAAGACCGAAAGAACATTTTCTCAATATTTTCCTCGAAACACTTAATAGATAGTGAATATAAGTTGGATATCACAAAGACATTCAAATTAATTGGTAACGAACCTCTCATTTGGTCCTCTTTGGAGAGACCATTGCCATCAAGCTCTTTTGACCTGACCTATCTACGCAGAAAGAAAGTGTGATAAACTTTTGCTTTCCATTTCGACATAGATATAGTGCATAGTCTCGTCTATTACAGAAAGTTTACTTTTGATCCTGGAACTCCTTAGACAGGCTTACAACCACCTTTTGATCATGTCTTTTAAATACTGTATTTACTACTGGTTATAATTTTGTGTATACTAACAGGTAGCTAATATTGAAAACTTCTACCATTTGCTTACCTGTTGAAATCTACTTTCAATCTACTGAATTCGTTTTCTACATCAAATTTTCAATGAATTACTTAACGTTTTTTATAAACTGGGTTTCTTTCTACTAATTAACATAGTTCTAAGCTCCCACAGAATATTTTTTCCGAATAATTCAAAAAATTTCTCCCTTTTTTTTCAAAACTATTAACTATTTTAGTTCACACACTTATAAATTTTCCTCTCCTTTTGCTTGTACAGACAATTAAGTAGAAAAACGTCAATGGTTTTTACTGGTCAATTCGACATTCATGATGAATGAAAACCTTTTTTTTCAGCTTGATAAATGTTATTTGTAACTATAGCGTTTAGTGTCATTATGTACATATTGATAGCACACACAATACTTTTAGTGACTGATTCATTATTTCTTTTCACTGTCTATATTCTTTACTTTAACAAGAAACTGCTATAAGCTTAGTCATTGATTGACGGAGCAAAAGTGATTTTATTATGACTAGTGAAACATGTGTACCGTGCATGTATATGTGTATATATGTGGTGTGTTGTGCTCTTTTGATCGATAATGCAAAGATGATTTATTCGTCTCATGGATTATTTTCATAAGACCTACTTTCAGTTTATTACCTCTTTCAAACTAATATTAATAGGCTTTATTTACGTGGCATAGCCCTAATCTATAATTTACATTGACTAATCTAATCTTATCACATTGTGGTTCACTGCTGTTGCTAGCTATCAATTATTTGATTCCTGAAATTAAAGAGAAAAATTAAAATTGTAGGAATCTCATTGATTGAACTGTAAGTAAATCCAACGTTTTTCTTGGTAATCTGTAAACAACGTTGAAAGCAAGATTTCTTGAAGTGCGTATAAGACATTTGTTGTTGAAAAAATGTAGAAAATAAGTCAGCGATAGCATTATATATTCAATAGAGTCCGGCCATTCTATCGGTTTCAATGAATGAATCGGTTTCAAAGAATCCTACAAAAACGTTTTAGTCCATACAAAGAGAGATTAGCAGCTGAAGTTCCACACATATGGGCGAATCCAAACAATACTAATAGGAGAAATGGAGTACAATAACCTATTGTACGGCAAATAACAATTAATAAGTGAATCTGAACTCTTTAATAACTTTGGTTTCATTTAGTCTATTGCTTATTATGTGAACAACATTAGTTACTTTCATTTTTTCTAATTATTTCGTTTATCTAAATATATGTTGAACAATAAGCTTGGTCAGCACAATAACACAAACATATATTTGTTTACTTAAATTCATTTTATGCATGCTTTGACACGTTTGTTCCATTTTATCTATCAAATTATCTGGTTTTATCAAAAATCTCTACTACAGGGTCATATATATTTAATGAATTTTTCTTGCATCAGATCTACATATACAAACATAAAACTGCTAGAGACAGATGGTGGTTGATAGTGAAATTCAGGAGGCGTGTTCTGTTCTATTTGGGACCATCCATCTCTGCTTATTATGCTTGTGACTCAATGGCAATATTGAGGCGATCCGCATAGGATGACTAAATTTGGAAATGTGGATCATTGAATTATCCAAACGTATTATTCTTCCAGTCATGTCTGGAGTTTCTGAGTTCGTGCCCCTGTTAGAAAATCTATAGCTAAAATGAGACAACTCCTCAGTACCACTTGAATTCCAAAAAGTTCTACAAATAATATTACTCTAGGATGAAAATAGTCTTCAAATAATCTCCAAATACTAGCATACTAAATAACTGAACTAGTGGTAAAATTGTAGCAAAGAGAAAAGCCTATTTTTTCATTGACCATGTAAACTTTGAGTGTCCTATGGAATATAGTTGTTTTTTCTCAATGAATATTATTCATTTACATTGTTTGTTTTTTGACATGCCAGCAACATGAGTTATTTTTCAAGTTTGACCCTTTATTATATAGTGGGTCATAAAATAAAGACCTAATGCAATTTGTTAAGTACAGATTCGTGTAGTCATCTGTGAATCGAACTTTATGTGTGATGACCAGTGTGACAATAACTGAGGACCCAAATCGAAATAGGTGGAAATGGACTCGAACCAGGGACCTAGAAGTTGGAAGTTGAACGTCATAACAACTAAGCGACAGGTTCATCATTAAAATTGAAATCTCACTGTTACTACTCTGGTCTCATTGTTATTCAAAGCTCAGTAGGTAAAAATACGATATACTAGCGGCCTTGAGACAACCAGTCAGAATCCAGATAACGACTCATGTATTTTACCCGAAGATTAAAGTGTGGTGGTAAATAACATGTGTGTTATCATTGACCAAGTGTAAATTGAGGATTTTCGGTCTCTAAAATGCTTGGAATAAATGAAAATGTCTGTTATATAACCTAGAAAAGAATTTCGGATGGTGCTTAGGCGAAATTATATGACATACTTGCTCCTAGGGCAGATTACGTTTCAAAGTACTTAATGTCATTCATTGGGCAATCAAGAGTGTTTGGTGAACCTAGATAATGTTCTTCTTTCCTTACTCTCATTCTAAATCTCAACCCAAAGTTCTTCGAGTCTGTAAACAGGAAGGTGGCAGTTGTCATTGCATGACAAATGATGTCAGATTGTGTCGAAAACGCTAAGCTTACTTTGTAAACTCAACTCAGAACTCCAGTCGAACTCTTAATATCCAACCCTAACCTTTTTGCATTATAATTGATGTCAGTTGTTAGCGAAACTGTGTGTGGTGATAACCTTAACTAAAAACACCAACCCGACTTCGATTATGTATGTATATATAAAAACGTACCCTTTTTCCTTTACTACAAGGGATAAGTTGATTTTTGAGGGTTAGTTAATACAATGAAAGCTGTTGTCTCACTGTTATTTCATTACTTTTTATTGTTACTTTTTTATAACTTGGAAGAGTTTTCTGACTGGCTGATAAAACAACCAAGGTCGTCAGTGTATTATGCTTTTATCAGAAGGGGGTTTTATAGAGATTTTAGTAATTTAATAGTGCTTAGAAGTCCCATACCACGACGAAACGGCCGTCTAGTGCTTCCAGGTTTTCCATGGTGGTCTAGCTTTAATTGACTTATGAATTCAACTATTATGCTTTTACCGCTTAGCATCAAGATATTTAATAATCATTACTCAATCCCAGTTCTTATATAGTTACAATAAGATTATTTTATCCGAATGCGATGCATAATCCACAACGTAAAAATTACTCATTGAAAATAAACACAGAAGAACTCATTTAGAAATCAGTTGAAATAAACGACTAGATGTTTCTTTAGCGTTTACTGTTGATAAAAGTTTTAATCATTACTATTCAAAAATCGTGTTTTCTTATTTCATTCATTTCTAACATAATGTAGAATATATGAAGTGTTTCTGATCAATGTCTGATTTCCTGTTATAATTCCAAGTAAAATATAGAGCATTAAAATCTTCTTGATTTCTCTAGCTCACATTGTAGTGAACAGAACACTAGTTGGGGACAATCGAATGTATTTAAGCAAAGATTACAGACTATCTCAGTAAATTCTGATTACCAAACAATGAACAGTCAATTTGCAAATTAACAACCAATAGTCTCAATCTTCACTGTTTCTTCTTTAATTCCATTGTTCGTGCATCTTCCTACCGATTGCTCTTCATTTCAGTTCTTTTCTCATCGGTCTTCTGCCAAAATACATTCTATGTCTGACCCGCACCATATACTACTTATATGGATATAACTAGACCACACCACACTCGTCCCCCCTTCAAAGCATTCGTTCGTGCGGTGGTTCTGCTCGCCATGCCACTATTTTCTTTCACTGCAGTCTGTGCCAAACTCTCCGTCAGAATGTCGAGTCTGCGGCGCGCTGACCTCCATAGCTCCGTTGACTTGCCGGGGCACCAACATCCGCATCCACCCGGCACCAGGGACGTTCAACATCCGTACTCCACCGGCCTGCTGAGCCATCTACATCCGATGTCCGCCCAGCAGCCGCACGTCCCATTGCTCCTCTCCGTCGGCAGCACCCGCTACAGCCAACGCCGCCTCGCCAGAACACTCCACTCGACGCCACCCCTCCGCACCAGACTGCCCCAACTAGCACCTCAAATCCAGACCCGCATCGGCGTCCGCAGAACAGCACCCTTCCTCCTCCCGGTTGGCAGCGACACCAAATGTAGTGAACAGAACACTAGTTGGGGACAATCGAATGTATTTAAGCAAAGATTACAGACTATCTCAGTAAATTCTGATAACCAAACAATGAACAGTCAATTTGCAAATTAACAACCAATAGTCTCAATCTTCACTGTTTCTTCTTTAATTCCATTGTTCGTGCATCTTCCTACCGATTGCTCTTCATTTCAGTTCTTTTCTCATCGGTCTTCTGCCAAAATACATTCTATGTCTGACCCGCACCATATACTACTTATATGGATATAACTAGACCACACCACAACATCAATAAAGTTATGATCGAGGATATGGTAATATTATTGAATGTTATTCAGATCAGGAACTAATCTAAAGTATACAAGCATTTGATAGGATTTCTTAGTAGCACACACAACCAATGACCTTCAAGTCTTATAACGGGCGTTAGCTTTTAAATTAGTTCAGTGGTCTAAAAATACAGTCAATAAGATTTCTTTTTAGAAAAATACAACTATCTTTTCTTGATAAAGCAAATGGTGATTTTATAAAAACTTATCTTTTCCGGAATAAATTATGATAGTCATACTCTTGATTTTTTGCTTTGTGGTAGGTTCTACTTATCCTTGTCATATCCATTTTTGTTAAAGTTTATTAAATACTATTGAAACATACTTGATCCTTTGATTAAGTTGAAGTGAGATGAAGGTGAAGTGAAACAAGATTTGAAGGATGAATTGAATTGGTCATTCTATTTCAAGGTCGATCATCAGATACAAAATGCATAAGATTAAGAAGAATAACATGATTAGGAACGAAAATTTGACTTATTTTTATTTATACATATTTCATTCTATTATATTTTTTTCGGTGAGATTAACGTTCATCTTTTACACACGGTGCCAGCTACTTCTTTAACTGTATAATTTAGTATGGTTTCGAGAAAGACATAACCATACGTAATGTCATATTCCAATTTTAAAAATCGTAATTTATCAAGTGTTTATTAACACTCTAAAAATATCTTTTTATTGCTTGGTTTTATTTCAGTAACACTTTGTGATCCAGGTGATATAGTTCTAATTGGATCAGATGGACTAATTGATAATTTCGATCCAGTTATTACACAACTAGCTGTTCCTGAATCACCGCATTTAGATTTTGTTGATGAAGAGAATGAACACGAAGGACAAGAAGGTGATGAGGAGGAAAGTTCCTCCACTGATGATCTAGGTATTCAAGAAGTAAACAATAACAATAACAAAAGTTCTGTCAAAAGTACTTCATCTTTATCTTCGGATTCTTTGAAGTGTAATTTTAATAAATCGCCAACTTCACCATTATGTCGTCCATCCAAATCATTGCTACATAATTCCCCTTTAACACCACCACCTCGAGTAAGTATTTGGCCACAACCACCACCCCCACCAAGTGATCCAACGAAATTAACTTATACAACTGTTACAAATATCAGTACTAATAACAGTAATTATAATAACAATAATAATAATGCAAATGATAACAATGAAACTGAAACAATTTATGCACATCAAATTAACTTCACCAATCAACTTGAATTAAACTGGTATGAACGTAGAAAATATGCAGCGAAAGAATTAGAACGTGTATGGCATGAATTAGATATTAGTACGGAGAATGCTAATAATAAAAATGGCACTTTTAGTTCCAAAGATTTATGTGAGGCACTCATTAATCATGCATACAGAATTACAACAAAACGTCGTGAATGGTTAGAGAATCCAGATTATGCACATTTAAGACAAAATCAAACTGTAGTACAAAATAATAATAGTGATAACAATAATAAACATTCTGATAATACTTGTTCAACTGATTCACAAAGAAAATGGTTTAACGATATGCTTAAACGTATGCCTGGTAAGTTAGATCATGCAACTATAGTTGCCTATGAAGTTGGAGTTTATCATGGTAATGAAAATGAAGTATATGAAGAGACAGCTCATCGATTCCTAGCCGCAAACAACTCGAACTCTCCAACTAATCATTCAGTTATAACACATTCAGAGCCATAATAATAAAATAACTTAAGAAAAAGCACACTATACTTGTACATGTAATAAGTAATCTCAGATATGAGATATTCCCATTTACATTTATGTCATAATTTATTATTTACTTATCTTTTTATTTATTTTTATGAATAGTTCTCAATTTTCTTTTTGTATAGATATTTGTATTTTCCGTGTTGTTGTTTATCTTCTCATCATAAAATAGGTTACTGTGTTGAAAGGTGGTTATTATTCTCTACCAAATTGTGAGTATTTATGTCATTGTTAACTTTTATCTATAAATATGAATAAGGTCATATTATATAATATAGACACAAATACATGTATATCATATCTTCATTCAATGTTTCAATCCCAACACGAATCAATGTTCTTTTCTATAACTACGCTTATATGATTAGTTTACATTTTTTTCTCTTCACAAAAGCACCTTATGTTACTTATTTTTGTTATGTACAGTACATTGTAAGCTTTTATGCTAAGTATTTTAAAAAAATGAATTATTTATGTATTCTAGAATGATGTCTTCAAATGTGGGCTTATTTCCCATAATGATCATTGATCACCACTATATCTGTACTTGTTTAGTACATTCATTTCATAAATCAGTTTTTGATTTTGAAATAAAGATGACAAACAAGGGAATAGGAGCTTTGTTAGTCTAAATAGATAAGTTAAAACTGAGTGAAAATTTTAAAGTTGAATTTGACTTGAATAACATAATATCTAAGTTTTATGTTTCAGCTGTTTATGCATAGAAAAAGAATATTTCGATAGTTAAGATAGATCAATAGTTTTCATGTGTGAATCTTATTTGTAATCGGAAAGGTTAGGTATTAGAAGTTGGACACCCGTGGTAAGTGAAACAAACAGTATGAAAATAGTAGTATAGATTAGCCGTTGGAGACTTGTCAATCCGGTTTTATCAATTAGTAACAGCACATTCGAAACTAGTCAGACGTTTACTGGTTTGATAAGAAGTGTTGGTTTTAAATCAGTTGCCTAATAAATAATGTTCTTAACTCCTAATATTCCGTTTCTTGAGAAGCCGAGCGATTTTAAGCAATGAGAAAAGCAAGCGTTTCTAGGGACAACAATTTTTATTCACATTTACTGGACAAAAAAACTATGAATGTGAAGTACTTCAGCCGACTAACTCACATAATATTCAAACGAATTAGGAATATAACTTCTCCAAACCCTCATCAGTAAAGGTTAACATAAATTTAACTGAGACTTAAATTATATGCTCCTTACTCCAGAGAATCTGCAGTGTATACTGATAAAACTGAACAGTAATCTATGGTAGCCTGTGTTAAATGAATAATCTATGAGGAAAAAAGGATTATGGCCGAAAATTTGATTTATTTAGAGCAGTATTTATTTCAATCAACATAGGCATTCCTATTTTAAAATAGATATGGAACTCTTAAGTGTAGGAATCGAAAATATACCGGGTTACACTAATAAATATCGTGTTTTTGTTTAAATATATTATCAGTTGAATAATTTGAAGTACTTTTCAATTATTATGCGAACAAATTGAGAATCAGTCACTTTTATGTTATAGAGATTTCCCTATTTGGTGGTAGTTTACATCACTCACTAACTACCAATAGATAAACTCATAAAATCTAAAGACAATAGACAACTGCTTTGTTATATTTTGCGATTTATGAGCAATAGTAGTCCACGATCATGCTAAATATCAAACCTTGTATCAAGTAATTGCCTTCAAACCACTGGATTGATATCCGATAGTCTATGTTTCTGGTTTCAAGTTGTTTATATTATTTGTTTATTAGGTAATAACCATGTTTTTCAGTATTTAGCGTTGAGTCCTTTTGATGAGGCTTAAACTATGTAATATATCATTGTTTAGTTGAATATACTCGATAGGAAGCTATGAATGTAGATTTTGGGATAGTTTTTACACATCAGTAAGGCCTATCTGAACCTGCAAATAAAGTAGAACTACTAAGCTCTTTGTTTCCCAAAATGGGAATATAATACAATACTGTTTGACCCTTAATAAGAGATATTTCAGCTGTTTACACAATTAAAAGATTAAATTAATGATGTCTAGCGTAAACGTTTAATGAATACATATTATGATAAATATAGAGTTTTGCTTCAGAACTTAAGGTCTCATTGACAAAGTTCAAAACAGTAAAAAGAATGATAAGCTTTAAAATTGATTTATACCGTAGAACTCTACAGCAACATGGTTCATCGTCGAACTTATTACGTATATCTTTATTCATAACCACTAAGGAAAGTTCTGACGAAAACTGGGAGGTCACAGGCGTTATCTTCTGTACTTACATTTTAGAATGAAAAAGATTAAAGCATACATTTCAAATAATCTATAAGGAGATTAAGTTAAGATCACGAGCTCCGAATGCCTAACAATCTTAAGAGATGAATAAAGTATCTTTCATTTGCAAATATTATGCAAGATCTATTTAAATTTTCTTCTTACGTAACCATGAATGCAAGGCAAAAAATTCAGTGATTCCATTTAATCTAGTATTTAAACATTTATCTTCAACCAGTAGGAAAACGTAAATAAAATCGATAGAATGGTTCAGTACCGCCTTAAATAGCACGTGAATAATAGTTTACATAAATCAGGCCTTAATAAGAACACTAAACTTGCCTCATTTGATACAGAATTTCTTGATACAAAATAGTTCAATTTTATATCTGAATTTCTTGGAAAGTCTAATCAATTATGATTTAAACTTAAATTTATGAAAATAAAAGTGTTATAAAGTGTGAGTGCGTGCCCTGTTTATATATATGTACGTGCTGATTCCAGCCAATTAGGGAGGAGTGAATTATCGATCAGAGCAATGATACACAAAAGCGTTATGAGCAGTCTTGAGTACTTATCAATCCTGCTTTCTGCCTAGCCCAGCCAGTTAAGTCCAGAACACCAATAACAGCCTCTGCAATATGAATCGTTATTTACAAACATACTAGATTTATTTACCAAACAAACTGACCACAGCGTACCATAAAATAGAAAATAACATTTATACAATAATTGGCCAAATGTGGCTGTGAATAGGGGGAACAGTAATTAATGGACTAGGGATAACTGAGGAATGGTAAATCGTATAATATTTTTTTTTATTTTATTTAAACACATAAATAATGGTACAAGGAAGCACCAGATAAATATGCGCCTCACAAATCTCATTCGATTTGTGTGAGGGCTGTGATACTGCCCAGGTGCCCAGACTGAAGCAGGTGGTTTTCTTAGGGGGCCACACCCGGAGCCTTTGACCTGAATGTCTGATCCACAAGGCAGTGGAGTATCGTGAGGAGATGCAGTCCCATGGTAGCCGGTGATCAACGGTTGATTCGTACGCCATTTGTTCCTTCAGGATACTGGAGCACATGTGCACCACTGGTTTGGAATCAGGGTTTTCCATTTCCCCTAGGTGAACTTTCCATGTCCACCAATAATAATAGTTTAATAATAGTCTATCGTTCAAAATAAAGCTTATAATCAGGGAGATACGAATATTAATAGTTTAGTTACTTAACAATTATATTATAGGGAATATACATATTTTATTGGTCCATGAATAGTTCTCAAAGTTACCATTCATAAATCTCCACGGGATATAACAACAAGCTTATTATAAAAGGTGGTTCAACAGAGAATGAAGCATCATGTAAACTTATTTAATACTTCTATCAGGTAAGTTAGTCTTTTATTGATGTTGATCTTTGAATTTTTATAGTAACTGTAGGTAATGGCTTTATAATGTAATTCTTCTAAATCACTATTTCTCGTAATTTAGTATTGTGTTATAAATATCGACACTTTAATTCACTTTACTAAACTATTCGCAGAGAATGATTGTGGTGAGGAAACCAATGTTATTACGTAATAGGTTGATGCAATTACATCTTTGACATCGGTAGCAACATCATGGAGCAGCTGTTGTGCAAATTAACTAAACTCTATAGCAGTTAGTGTTCATTGAGTAACTAGTAAAATTTTGAGTGGTCTTATAATCTTTTCGTGGTTAAATGGCAGAATGCTCGTTTGTCACATGGGCAGTTCGGATTGAATTTCAGGCTGATACACGGCGATTTGCTACCAAATGCCTTTGTACAGACGAGGATGAGGACTGTCTATTCTGCCTCTCGAAATGCTCTCACGTAGCCTAGAGTATAGAGCCACTGTCATGAAAATCCTACTCGCTACCTTCTCGCTGTGAGGGGTGTTGTTTACGAAATTGTGAGGACGTAAAGCGACTGTCCAACACTTTACCCGAGTTGATCGGTATCATGAATTCACATAAGAGAATTGGAAAACCCTTATTCTAAACTAATGGTGAGCATAAGCTTTAGGATCCTGAGGGAACAAATGATGTAAGGGATTATTTTTGGTTATCAGCTCCACTGCCTTGTGGATTACACTTCTAAGCCAAAGGCTCGAGGAGTAGCCGCCTAAGTAATAAACCTCCTTCAGTTTGGGCGCCCGGTTGTTATCCGAGCCCACACACAAATCGAATGATCATCGCAACAGGAAAAAACTATTATTTCCTCAATTTGCAATCAAACTGATCACATTCACAATCATTTGGCACCATTCGCTTTTATTTTTTTAGATAGAGTCACTTGTCTACTCCGTTTTATTATCATTGTGGGTATTCGTTTATTTTTTAAACCATAAATCAGCCGCCTACGGTGGAAACCCTGTCCTACCAAAAGGACTGACTGGCCAAAAGATGAATGCTACCGCTGAATACGAATATTGAACCAGCTTTTCTGAAACCATGTATAACCATTCAAAATGGCCTCCTTCAAAATTCTCACATTAATGAAGATCAGATAACAGATAGGGTTGGCTATGTCTTTAGAAAGTCTCAACATCGATTTCTGTTGTCTATCCGAGACCCGTATTCAAGACTCTAGTGAAGTACTGTAAATGCGCTCTCCATCTGTCGCTTCTTAAAGCTTGTTTCAGATGCATTTATCTGGAACCCTGTGGCGTCTTTGTCTGGTTTTGCTGGCGTTGGTGTCGCACTAAGCGCTAGAGCTGAGGCATCACTGATCTGTTCGGTTGTGTGCTGCTAGAATAGGAAGTTCCATCAGAGTATGAAGAAGTCGAAGTGAGAAACGATGTCTTTTCGTCATCACCGCTTATGCTCCGACAGGTTACAGCTCGGATGCGATCAAGGATTAAATTTACCACCAGTTAACGGTTCATCTACAGAAAGTGCTTTCGACATATATTGTAGTACTAACCAGAGACTTGAATGCACAGGTCGGCGTCTAGGCACAGAAAGGGTCGTTTAGGTGGCCAGTGGAGACTTGTCGGTCGCAGATCATATAACGGGGACCGTCTGCTGCAAATATGCATAGACCACAACCTGTTTCTGGCTAGCATTAACTATTGGCACAATCATCGTTGATGTGCTACCTGGCATTATTATCTTATTATAAAGAAGATATTGTTTGTGAAAATTAAATTTGAAATAATCTCAGTGATTGGAATTTAAATAGTTCCAACGTTTCGTCCAGCAAACTTGTCCAAACGTTTTCAGCGTAATAATTGAAATCAGAATTATCAAAGATATTCTTTAATAAGTCCAGACAAAATTGTTGGATAAAACGTTGGTATTACTTAAATTTCAATCTCTGAGACTATTTCAAATAAAATCTTTATCACCATCTAGTGAAGCGATTTGAATCAATTTCAGGGTGAATCA